AAAATAAAAATACTAGACTGCCTTACACCTTTTACTGAAATCAATCAATATATAGTACACGTTTAACAACGTAAGAACTTATCATTCACAAGGGTATGTAGTTTTAAAAAAATCAGATGCAAATAAAGGAAACTGTGACGTAGGTAATTAACAGAAAATTTTATGAAAAACAATCTATGAACAAATTACTAACCTTATTGGAAAAAAAAAAAAAGTGAGGTGGATCTTTCCATTTTCCTATACAATAATTAACAAAAAATAAATAAATAAATAAATAAATAAAATAATAATTATTATGAAAATCTACTTATGGACAACTCATATCATAAAAATAACTTATTTTACAACGAGGTGGGTACCTCCATTTCTCTGTACCTTTCAAGTGAGGTTTTTCAATTCTTTCTAAAACATCCAGCAACTTATTTGCTTTCTTCGCTTGTTTTATATATCTGTCTTTATCCTTGTAATAAGAGGTTCTATTCAAATTCACCTTATCATTGTCCCTTTTCTCAGTACGCAGATCATTCTTTTCCTTCATTTGTTCTTCCTTTCTGTCATTGTCCTCATGGTAATACTCATTTTCATTCAACGGGATCTTATCATTGTCCATTTCTTCAACACAAAGTTTTTTCTTTTCCTTCACTTGTTCAACTTTTCCAACATTGTCTTCATAAGAACATTCATTTTCAATTAGTTTGGTCTTATCAATGTCCATTTCTTCAACATGCGTTTTTTCCTTTTCCTTCACTTGTTCATCATTTCTGTCATTGTCCTCATAGCAAGGAGTTATATAAATCTGTTATAACTCCTTGCTCATAGTAACTCTTTTCCTTCACTTGTTCATCATTTCCGTCACTGTCCTCATAATAACACTCATTTTCATTCAGTTTGGCCTTGCCAGTGTCCATTTCTTCAACACGCAGCATTTCAACATCAGGGGTTTTCATCATCTTAGCACAGGGGAACTTCAAGATCTTGGGCCTGGGCGCGCCACTCGTAATAAGTTTCAATAGAAGTTTATATATCTTATCTAACGTTAATTTCTTTTCTCATCTTATCTTCTTTAATTATAGTGAAGTCACAATAAAGATATAAGTCTGTCACGCCAAGATAGGTATAAAATCTTTTTTAAAATCTATTTTAAAAAAACAATACAACTATTATATTTTTATATAACCTGTTTAAGCACTGTTTTGCTAATTCTGTTGTCCCTAGCGATTGGCTTAGGTCCGTCATTAATCCCATACCTAAAGGTAATGGTGTTAATTCATGTGATCCACTAGAATATAGAGGAATAACATTATCATCTAGCATATATAAGATATACACATCTATTCTGAACAAGAGATTATCGAAGTGGGCCGAAGATAATGAAATAATAGTTGATGAGCAAAATGGCTTTAGACAAGACCGTGGGTGTTTAGATCACATGTATGTAATGTCTAGTATAATAGAAAATAGTTTAAAGCAAAAGCAGAACATATATGCTTGTTACATCGATGCAAGAAAGGCATTCGACAGAATTAATAGGTCTTTTTTATGGTATAAATTATTTAAACTAGGAATATGCGGAAATTTTATGAATTCCCTCCAGGCTCTATATGATAACCCAAAGTGCTGTGTTAGGGTAAATAATTATACAACAGGTTTCTTTGATATTGAAACTGGAGTAAAACAAGGGTGCCTGCTGTCACCTCTACTTTTTGACATTTACATTAACGATATGGTACATGATCTTAAAGCTCTGGGTAAAGGCATTAATGTAAATGATGAGCTGATCTGCTCGCTCCTTTATGCAGATGACGTTGTGCTTTTGGCCAAAAATGAGGAGGATGTACAGTCAATGCTTGATGTGGTGCACAAGTGGTGTTATAAATGGCAGCTGACTCTGAATGAGGACAAGACCCAGATAGTTCACTTTAGGTCACATAAAATACCCAGAACAAATTATGTTTTTAAATGTGGTAATTTTACAGTAAATATTGTTGAAAAATATAAATACTTGGGTATGTGGTATTTTGAACACTTTGATGCGAATAAAACTGTATCATGTATAGCTAAGTCTGCAAGCAGAGCTTTAGGTCTTCTGATTGCAAAATGCAAGGCTTGTGGGGTCATGCCCTATGCATGCTTTACGAAGTTATACGATGCACTTGTAGCTCCTGTATTAGAATATGGTTCTGCTATATGGGGACTCCAGGAATTTAGTCAGATTAATGCTGTTTTCAATAGAGCCTGCAGGTATTTTTTTGGCGTGGGTAGGTACGCGCCAGTCGCTGCCACCCGTGCTGAAAGGGGATGGATTTTGCCTTTTGGAAAGCAGTTAATTAGTGTGACAAATTTCTGGTGTAGATTAGTTAATATGGATTGTTATAGGTTGACTAAAAAGGTGTTTTTATGGAGTTTACGTGTATCAAACAATGGAAAGAAAAATTGGATAACTAGGGTTAAAGGTAAATTTAGTGATCTGGGAGTAAGCCACCTACAATGTATACTTAACTGATAATGATATACCGAAGGCTAGTTCACTTAATTGTGTTAGGGAGAGTGTAGCTTTCGAATGTCACTCCGATTGGTGGGCGAAGCTATGGGATGATACCCCACGTAGAAATGGAGGTGGAAATAAGCTGAGGCCATTCAGACTGTTTAAGCAAGACTTAGTAGTTAGTGAATACGTTAAGAAACCAACTTTATCGCTTAAGCACCGGCGGGCATTAGCTAAACTGAGATGTGGGGTGGCCCCACTCAGAATAGAAACTGGACGGTATGAAAAACTTCCAATCTTGGAGAGAACATGTGTACTCTGTGAATCAGGTTGTGTTGAGGATGAGATTCATTTTTTTAATTAATTGTCCATTTTTTAATGGTCATCGTACTGATTTAATTAGAACTGCTAAATGTTTTAAGTCAGATTTTGATTTACTGGATGATCTAAGCAAATTTCTTTTCCTGATTGACGATCCAAAAATGATTTTTAGCACTGCCAAAGCCTGTAGCCTTTTCTTTGGATTAAGAGGAAATTTTATGTATTTAAACTGTAATTAGTGTTTTAAATTTTTTTAGTCTCTCATAGTTCTCTATAGAACTGCCTGATGACTGTTTTAATTTTTATTGTTTTTTAATTGTATCTATGGGTGAGACTTTAATAAAATAAATTGAAATTGAAATTGACAATAGATGAGTTTTGATTTTGGTAACTAAACGGTGGTGTTGCGTTACTCTTCTCTCAGGGCATACCCAAGTCGGGAATCGCGTACCGTACCTAGAATCTTCCAGCGTAGGATTAGAGCCTCTAGCGTCAAGATTATACCCGCGGTATATCTAAGAACCTAGTACAGTTGGATCAAGGAGTTATAACTCCTTGGTTGGATGAACTGTAATTACAGCTCCAAGGAGGTTGGTCTTTGGCTCCGTTCATCTTTTTGTCCGTTTGTCTGTTAACAACATCAAGGACAAAATTGCAGACGGATTTCGCCGAAAGTTTTCGGAAACTGACTTGAGGGGATCTAATAACGGCGAAAGCATGACGGGACAGACAGAGAAGACGAAGCAAACAAAGCCTGTGGAATTCCGTGGTTTACTGACATAGATAATAAGGTGGATTGCGGTACGGATCACCACTTTAGTCTTATTACTTTTCTGACCTATCACGAAAAGTTAATAAAAATCCGCTCATAACGTTTTGCACAGGCCTAGTATTGCTAAAAGACTGACAAACTAACAAACTAACAAACAAACTAACCAAACCAAAACGAAAGCTCCACGGCGGGGGTTATTGATAAATTAATAATGATGATAAAAATAATGAGAATTGAGCTGACTTAACAAAGTTCTGGGCTCTCTGAGAGCTTTTCTAGCTTATATTGCTTTAGGTTTTTTTATTTTTGATAAAATGAAAGCAGTTAGTTAACTAAATATCCCCGTCCCACAATGTCAATGGTGAAACCGGAAATAAAAATGAAATAAGATTTTTACAACAACATATGATACAAAAAGAACACACCAGTTGCATCTAAACAAATATATAAAAAGACCACTTTCCGCTTTTACTAGTAGTTGTTATTTTGTATTTGGATCGGACTAACCAGAATCTGAAGTTGTCTGGTGTAAATCAGCATAGCCGGTATCAGCTGGTGTCAGTGCTATCGAAAACAAAGATAACAGGTGATTTGATTATCATTTGTTTATTCATTAACAGCTTCAGTTTGATCATAATAACAATATATGGTTCCTGGAAGACATACCCTGATAGCTGCACTGAATATTGTTATATCCCGCACGTTGATTCTCGTCGTAAAGCAAAGGATTTCAAGAGGAAATTCAATCATTCCCCGCATGCATTACTTGGGATATTGGCACATAGAGCAATAAATTTCAGTTAACGTCATTACATCTGTTAGATAATGTTTGAGGGGAAATGAGTTTTAAAACAAAATAAAGCTGTAGTCTAATTTAGATTGAGCATGCCAACATCACTTAACTGGACTTGTTGACATAGTAACAGATATTCATATTTTCAGGAAAAGCTTCATGCATGATTAGCATCATAACTGTTATAATTCACTTTTATTGCATATCTATCTAAACCGGTTGTCTAAATAACATGTTCGAATTTCGGCTTCATGTTTGGGTAATTTTACAGGTAAGATGAAAAGACAATTTTGAACAAAAAGGGATATTCATACACAGGACCTTTTTTGTCGTTACCACTTTGTTCTCATAAAATGGAATATTCGTGGCACAAAAAGTTCTTTTCCGCGGAAACGAATAATAGAATTCAATGTATTACACGCAAAAAAGGAAAAAAATACGTTAATGAAATTGAAATTGTTAAAACCAAAATTGAATTAATTCTGGATAACTAACAGAAAAAAGCACTTGCTGTTATTCAACTGTATTTAAGACGGTAGGCCTATTTCGCACATACCAGCATGAAGCAACTCTCACTAATTTTGCTGTAAATAAAGGGTATTCCTTCAACGTTAAATTATTTTGCGACATTATTTAACAGAAAATGTAACTAGTCCGTCTTCCAGTCTTTCGTCAGCAAGTGTGACCTCTGCTGAATATGTACCCTCGTAGAGCAGGTCTCTTGGAAAGAGGGCACGATAGTCACCATTGCCAAGACATGACAGTTTTTTAGCCTTCAACCTTTTCCCACTTGGTTTTTTAATGTAAACTTGCAACAAATGCGAATAGTCTATCTCAACGTCTGATGTCCCGTGGGTTATTTTGAAAGAAATCGACGGAGGTTTGTCTGATTTTTGGACATTCTCTGGTTTTTCTGTGAAAACGACCTTTGGCAATGGTATATAATGGATCTGCCCAGCAGATTGAAGAAAAGTTTCAAGCTGTGACAAACTTGTCTGAGAGGTGGTTTTAAAGCAAAGCCAACTTTCATTTGAAGCCCTTTTGGGTAAAAGAGAACCAGTCTTAGACGCATCGGTGTCGTCACGAAGACCTGCTTCCACAGCAACTGCAGTTGAAATGCAGTTTTTGCGTAAAGCGTCTTCAATTTCTGAAATTTGTGTTTCGAACTCATCAATAAGTGCCTCTGCTGCTCTGGCCTTTTTACTGAGAGTCTTATGTTTTTGAGTGAAAGACTGTTGCAAATTTTCCTTCGTTGTCTGCTGATATTTCCTGATGACACTTAAATACTGATGGAAAGTTGTGTCTATGGCCCTCTCTGCGCTTTGCTTACTTGCATTTAAAAACTCCATCTTTTTATTTACATCCGTTAAAATACCACTCTGGTGACCCTTCTTGGTCTGTAAAACACTAAGTTTTTCTCTAAGTATCATTTTTGTTGCTTTCAATGCTGGCTCAAGGTCTTGCAGTTCGCACTGCTTGGACTCCTTGTGGTCTAAAATGGTGCACGCTTGGCAAGCAAGGGCTTTGTGGGTGGCGCAGTAGAACAAATATGGCTGATTCTTGTGTTTTAGGCATCCTTCCTCATTGTCAACTTTAAGGTAAAAGTTTGTCTGCAATTTCTCAGGGCCACCTGCAAGATGTGTGAAAAAAGTCAAAGATCTAATTTCAGTATCAATTTACAGATTAATTGTTACAATTATTTGTAATAACAACTGGGACATTTTAAAATAAATTGGTATGTTTGTGTTTTAAAAATTAAGATAATGGTGAAGATCTGGACTTACTATAACACAGTTTCTACAATTATATTAATTACCACACACACACACACACAAAGAAAGAAAGTGAAATAACCCATATGAACAATTCAATACACAAATTTAATCTTTTTTTTAGATTGAACACAGCTTTAGTCGACAGGTTGAACCTCACCCATGGGGAGACAGGTGCTCTCTCTACAGACCGGACATGACAACTTGTACAGCCCCTTCAGCTGCTGGACACACATCAGGCACACAGTGTGGTGACACGACAGAAACTTGGGGACACGTTTTGTCAAGTCGTAGTGGTCAAGGCAGACTGGACATGTGTTTGAGTGGTCAGAGCAAGTAGCTGATGAAGCCATATTGATCTTCTATCCTCTGTAATGAAAAAAAAAGATGATACCAGTTTGTATCATTTATTGTAATGACACAGAAAGATAGATCTCTCAAGCATATCAAAACAAGAGGGGTGGGGATAGGAGGGGTGTGATAGTAAGCCCACTGATGCGCCACAGGTCTAAGCAGCCACAGACAACAAATCTGATAATGTGACAGGAACCTGAAAACAGGAGTGTTGATGGCATCAGACGAGGCACTCTTGCCATACGGGAGTGTCTTGGTGTGGTTGTGGTTATTTTTAAAACACATATGTTTGTATTTGTCACTAGATAGTATAGCTATTCATTTTTGTTGTTATTACTGCACTAAATGTGTAGAAAATAACAATAAAAGCCAGACACTAAAAGCATTATCAGAAATAAAGAGAGAGTGAGAGAGATAGAAAAGAGAGAGGCCAACGTTGCTCTTTAAAAGAAGGCAACTGATGACACATTTAAAAATATTTTTTCGTCCTTTTCTGAGCAATTCAATAAAATAGTTAATTAATAAAGAAATGAAAAATTTCCGAAATAATAAAAAATAATTCAATTAATGATTGATTTAGTAAATAATATAATTGATAAACAAACAAAGAAGATACATAAATATGTGAACAAACGAACAAACAAATATACTGACAGATCAAAAATAAAAGATTTGTTAAGCCAACACGCTTGATTTTGATCTAATCTTCTCAAGGTCAAATTATGGATCCACCCCCTTTTTATCCTTTTTGGTGCATAGCCAACAGCAGTTGTGTTATAACTCGTAATCACAGGTGTTCTGATAAGATTAATTCAAACAATAAATCAACAATTAGCAGAACATGTGATAATTGCACAATACAAGGTAGGTCATTTGAAGGTGTCGCTGAGATAATAATGCTTTATCTTCATGTATTTTAACTTTGTATGCGTGAACAGGTAGAATACATATCTGTATGATGTAGGGCCTACTTTTATTGCTAGTGCATAAGTAACATATATTTTAATATTAAATTTATTAAATAATATTAAATTTAATTAATTAAAATTAACAATAGATGGACCCAGGATGGGATTGGGGTTGTCTTGATATCCTGGTCGCACCAGTGGCAGACTCGAGCCCAGCAATTTCAAAAGGGTTGTTTGCATTCCTGAAAAAGTGTACTTTTTCACTGCATAATCCATGTACGTGTTTACTTTAAATGTTATAGCACCTAAAAGTTTGATTTTAAGAGCAGACCTTTTCCTGGCCAAAAGGGAAGTTAGTTTGAACCCATCCTGAGTGATTATGACATAATTTTGAATGTTTTAAAATAATTTTACGGCTGTTTCACTATTACTGTAATCTGGTGCATTACCAATCAATAGCAGTATCTTAATTCTTATCTAACTGCATTAATGTTGCCATTTGGAATACAAAAGCAAAGTGCCCTTGATTGAGACAAAGTCTGATCAACATATGACTAATAACAATGACTTTTATATTTCGATTGTCATGCCACGTTAATTCTATTGTATTATACGGCTATCTTAGATAAGATATTTTACCTTTTTATTAGTAATATTTGTGACTGATGAGTGTCACTGGATGTTCAGTAGATTAGACCAATTCATAGTAGTGAACGGAGAGAAAAACTTATAAATTTGAGCCGCGTCTTTTGAATTATCTGAAATAGATGGAGGAATAGGGGGCCTAAAATGGCGCGTTTTTTCACAAATTTATATAATTATCTAATATTTAAATATATGGCCATTTTGTACAAATTAAGACTTTCAAAATGAGGTATCCATGCATGTGCCATTTCTCTAGTCAGAGTATAATCATCCTATAAAATTTGGCAAGCATTTCACATTTACATTCTTGAGCCATGCTTTAGATTGTGAGACAATACATCTACTTAATCTAACCAATATTTCATAACCATCATTCCTTTAAATTCCACTATATGAATATTTCTTAAAAGAATTCGTGTAATTTTTTCTGCGTCAGACGAATTTCAGGGCATGTAGCTGGGTTCAGTTTTTTTGTCCTTTAATTTTGTTATATCAAAACAACAATAAAGTGTTTAAATTTTAACAATGTGATAAGTGCTGCCCAGCACAACAAATTGATATATATCGCAATAGTAAATGAGTAATCTAATTGCCATAATATATTGTCTTCCCATCTTAACTAGTTAAAAAACGTTATGCAATAGCTAATAATTAGTCATTCACAAATTAATAATTATTTCTTATACACTTACCTATTAGGGCTGCAGCCCTCCATATAAAAAACAGGCAACCTAAAGTGCTCTTGACAAAATAATGTGCCCGTCCCCGTGAATCGGCACATCTGTTGATGACGGATTATCTGTGACGCTACATGAACTCACAGGACCGGTTCACACTGAGAAGTTTAAACTGATTTAGGTCCTTTATTAATCATCAACAGTTTCAAGTACCCAGGCTCTCAAAGGTAGCCATATCAGCAATCCACTACCCTAGTTAAAGATATTTTATTAGCAGTAGAACAGTTTTCTCTTTCTGTGATGACAGTACCATTTACATAAGGGGAATGGGAACTGTATGTGAAACGTAATAACTTGACCAGTCTGAACAGAGCTTTGCTAGATAACAGTGGTGTCATCCTCTTCCATGTTTATGCCAAATCCACACCCATAGTGTTATCTAGCAGTAGTTTTATTTGGCAACGATACATACGAAGCAGGCCCACTGTGAACAGGTTAAATTGAACAGATCTTTTCCTGGTCCTTTGGATATGCTTTCTATTGGTTTGATGTAAACTCTGAAATTTATCGTTTCACGTTACATTTTTCTTTAATTTTTTATTACAAAATTAATTAAAAATTGTAATAATTTATTTATTTTACTTTTGGTGTATGATAAATTTCTTTCTTGGTTTAAGTGATTTCCACAAAAAAATGGAATATTAGTCATTCCAACCTTTGTAAAAGTATTTTTTGTCAGGAGTTCGTATTATCAAAACCCAATTGTTGAATTCTACACAAACATCGAAGAATATATTGTCCACTGATTTACTGAAAAAAATACTATCATCACAATTCTCATCACAATACTCCTTTGTGTTAAAACCAAGCCAACATTTTAGACGCTATCATATTTGTCAACACTGATGGAGATAAGTAACGAGGTGGGCGGCTTTTTAAATGCTCTAAGTCCCAAAGCAACGACACGCCCTCTCGTGGCCGCTAGGAAGGCAAAGGCTCCTTCAGAATGGGCAAGATTACTACAGATTGCGCAGAATCGAGGTATCTTTCATCCCCAGATTCCCGTGAACACCTTCAATATTGTGGAAATAAAATGCAGTTTAATGCTAGCCCATATACAGTGCATCAGTGGGACATTCAGAAATTCATATACCAAGGTGCATGTAATAGATAGACCCCGAGTCAGCGAGGGTTATGTGGCATGCACGAGTGCGTAGCACGAGTGGATGTCACATAACCCTCGCTGACGAGAGGTCTATCTTACATAGACCACGGGTCCATTAGCGGGTTATAACGCATTCATGCGAAACGCGCGGTTATGCGAGTTATACCACGCCTTAGTCTTTTGTTCTTCACTTCCACCGTGGTCTTATGCAGACTGAAATCATCCAGGCAATTCTGTTCTTTTTTATGCGCACAACCTGCAGACTTATTCAGTGCGGCAGCACAGAAAGATCAAATATTCCTTTGCCACTTTCCCACCTCGTCGCGTCAGTGTAGAGGTCTTGCAACGTACTTATTCAAAATTAGAACTATAACATATCTAAGCCTAGAGGTTAAAAATTTGTTTCTCAGATGGTGCAAATCCTGTGTTAAGTAGTCGAATTGCAGTATCCTATCCGTTATTTTCCTGCCAAATGGAATTTTCCATGGAAAAAAGTAAATTTTCTCCTACTCGTGATTCATAGCTCGACGCGTTTTATACGATTTTTAATTAAATTATTCAGTCCTGTCCCCTTTAATGGCTTGCCTTCTTGTTCATAACAGAAGGATATATGGACATCAGGCATTTTTATTTGAAGGTTTTTATCATATTAATAATATTCTTTGATTGTAGAAAATATGAGTAGCTTTAGGGTATATGTCGACAGAAAATGTGACATCGGGAAATTTTCAAACTAGGACAGTATACCTTTAACCTAATTCTGCACTGACCTTTACTGTATGTCAATAATATCTGGGTTATCAATGACAACTGGGGACAGTCACATTCTTAAAAAGACCAGTTCTTATAATGTGACCCTGTTTACATTAGGCCCGATAATGTGAGCCAGATACATTTGTGTGATGGATGGAAAGGGAGTAAATTGCAGTCAAGTTTGTTTCTGTATTTATCTCTCTTTTTACGTCTCTTTACCTTGGCATCGTGATAAGCAGCAGGTGTTTTTTCAACACATTTTTCCAGTCACACTTATCAAAAATAAAGACCGAAGAACTGATTCTCATCATCATCAAATGGATTTACATCAATTTAAATATCCCGATCATTTTTCCTTTATCATATTTCTTTTATCCGTAAGTGTGAAAATTTACTTTAAAAACATATAATGAAAATGAAAGGATGTAGGAATTCGTGCACATATACATGTCCAACAGTCAGGAACCCCTTGTTTGGCGATGAAGGTACATAATCCACGTCAATGTGTAATCTACCAGATACAAAGTACTTCTGACACCTCACTCAAGTGGCCTGTTAAGATATGATATGCCATCAAACAAACAGGTGTCTATTGTTTGTCTGTTGTCAGCTATCATTGAGGGTTTATAATTAATTTGTCATGTAAACAGTGAAGATAAACATTGGATTTGTTCCAGCTGTATCTTTTGTTAATAGTTACTGCAGCAGTGGTTGTCTATGAATTTTTTAAACCCCTCCACCTCCCCCCCCCCCCAAAAAAAAAGATTTAAGCATTTCTTTTTTCTGTTATTAAGGACCCCTAGATTTAGAAAAATAAAACTTACATAAGAGTCAATTATACTCTGTCATGAATCTTCGAAGAAGTAAAATGTGCCTTTAACCTCATGCAATTACAAAATTGCTCAAAGTGGCAGAATAGGACACTTGATAACAACTGTTTTAAGTCTAAAAAATATTTATTCTAATCAAACAAATGTCACTGGTCCCCATTATTTTTTATCCAATAATCCATTGTCATCCTGCAAGTTTTTTTTTAAGTTTTAAGAGAGGACAGTTTGTATTCTCTTAAGCCAAACTACAGTATGTAAGCTATCTATGATGAGCTTGAGGTCAAATATAGACACTGGCATGTGACACAGTAGTCTGAGTAGTGTTATTCACTATGTTTTCACCTGATATACGAGGACAGCTATGTGTACAGACAGATTTACATAGCTTGTGCATTCCTACATGCTGAGAGGCAACAGAACACTTCTGTATTCAGATATAAATTCAAAATCATTCTTCCTCACTCACACGCATGAAATGAACACGCAATGAGATGCACACATATGCACATTTGCACCTGATCCAGGAACGCACAAAAATTAGAAAAGCTAAAAGATTGGCCATCCATTTTTAACTTTCACATGGGTAACGCAATCTCACGAATCTAGGATTCAATGACTTAATCTTTATTTAGCATCCCAGGTCCCACAGAAGAGTCCAGGCTCTCAGACTGCTAAAGCTAAGAAAAACTTGCTGGTTGTTAGAAAAAAGTCTTTAAATATACCGAAAAAACCATGGCAATAAACCAAATATGCAACTTCATGCATTATTAAAATCACTGAACTGAAAGTTAAACATAATAATGATAGATTGTACGGAATTTACTGAAGGTATTAAAAGTCATTGTTGAGGGGTTCGATATGAAAGGATTTTATTGTCCCAGCAAGCTTAGGGTTGTCTACAACAGTTCCATTTGGAAGTTGTTTTTCACTAGAGTCAGAGCAATCTGGTGGCCCATTCCCTTGGAGACTCCAACAACTAAAGCCATTCTCGAGATGAATGTGGGAATCTTACAGGCCATTTATTTGTGTTGATATAAAGCTCCCAGATCACATTGTGATTGTCTTGAAAATGATTTTCCTCACAATGGTGACCATATAGTTCACTCAATGAGGTCAACTAAACTTCTGTTTGAATCAATGTTACAAAGTCAACTATATGTGGTCAGTTATGTGATGTCAGTCTAAGGTAGGCCTAAAAAATTTAGACTTCTTGCAAAACAGGCTCCTAGAGCGCATTCTCAACGAATTAAGCCAGGCTTTACAAAGCCGGTGACCTATAAATGGCGGACGTACATGAAAGAAAAACCGCCTAATCTTTTAATAGTCTCTCCGCCTCTCACACGCCTCCCCACACGTCGTCCCTGCGGGGTACAGTAATTAAATCTCGGCTCCGAACATTAATATTTCCGTGAATATCTCTGGTGATATTATCTCCGTAGATAGTCGATTCATTGCTGCTCTACGGGCCAAATTATTCCTTTTTCGTCTCTGTTTTCAAAGATAATAGAACAGAAGAGCTTTTTTCCTTCGATCGCCTTCAGCCGCCATGCATTCTTCACCACGAGTTTAACTGATGAGCATGCGCACTTAAAGATGCATACAAAGTCAATTTTTTGTCACAAAAACCAACCAAATGCCAGCATATAGTTTCAAGTAGTATTACTAAGAGAATTACCAAAAGGCATTGTTTAATTTTACCCGAAAATGATGTTTGAACCAATTTTTCTGCTGGCATTCTAAGCTGTATGTCAATGGGGCAGGAAAGTAGGTCACGAAATTAGGTTAAATTTACAACCAAAAATTTAAAGAAAGGAGCAGTCTAAAGGTCTTTTATGGCTGTCGAGTGATCTATTCAGTTCATCCCTAGGCATGTCGCATTTATTTGAGTCATATAAGAATCTAGTAGAAGTGGTTTACATGTGTTACTGGGAATCCACACTCCACCGATGCTCAGTTCGTATGTACCTTTAATATTTCTCAGGTAGCTTCCGCATGGCGAACGGAGACGCGATTTAATTACTGTACCCCGCAGGGACGACGTGTGGGGAGGCGGAGAGACTATTAAAAGATTAGGCGGTTTTTCTTTCATGTACGTCCGCCATTTTTAGGTCACCGGCTTTGTAAAGCCTGGCTTAATTTGTTGAGAATGTGCTCCTAGACTGTCAGAACCTTAGGTTTTAAAATCAAAAGATACATGTAATGATCCTTGAAAGCAGAGAAATGTACAATCTATAACTTTGGTCCCATAATGTTGTTCAAGTTCTGGTCTTCCTCCTCTACAAGAAGAGATGGAAATGTCTTTGGCATCATGCGAGGAGGCTCATGGTCTGGATCACAGCGATACTGGACAAAATCGGTTACACCAACTGAACGCAAGTAGTCCTCGTCAATAAGAGCTTGGCCATTCAGTCTAAGAAATGCAACAATGTAGGCACATATTATGGGTATGGTTCACCATTTTTTTTCTTTTTCAATGGTAAGAAACATTTCTTCTTTGCTTAACTGAAGGAGCAATATGTTTAGAATTTCTAAAAATAAATTCTTAAGGTTTTTACTCAAAATTGTATGTTGAAAATTTATTTTCAAAACTACAATCATGCTACAGAGAGCCCACCAGGTGATAATTTGTATAAAAAATAATAAAAGGTAGGCTCAACAATGAGCAAAAAATATAGAAAAATGCTACTGAAAAAAAATATAGCCAAAATTACCACTCTACCTTTCACTTTCTTCATTGGCAATACTAAGAACAGCATCAGCAAATATGGTGGACTTCCTCATATATCTTGGCTCCACATTCTTCACCACTGTCACTTGGCTCTCTATAACTGTGGCTGGCCATAGGGAAGTGATGCTCACACCTGAATTTATGATAAAAACAAGACATTCCACAATAAACACAAGGCTGTTAAATCTGTATCTTGAATCACAATGTCTGTCTATCATATAACTACCATAACAATGAACTTTAAGTCAATTTCTTGTATACTGCCACACTTGGAAATTTAATAAAAACACTTAAACTTTACTTTTTATCATAGTTATTTTACAGTAGAGTCATTGAAATGCATTCCTGACACAGTATAAAAATGTGTACATTTCCTATTAGTTATTAGGTTGTTGTAGAATAATGTATTCTGTTTCATAATATCAAGCCACCAAAAAGTCTTCAACCCACCTGTTCCCTTCAGCTCCTCTGCCAGACCATGGGTGAGGACTGTCATACCAACCTTGCCCACTGCATACGGGGTTTTACCTTTGAAGAACCTGCCACACACAACAACAACAATATTAATACTTTTGGCTTGTAGTCTGTGTTGGAAGCACAGTATGTGACCTAGCCACAGCAATAGCTGCTTATAGGACTTTTAGGTCATTTTCTGTTCCCCTTTTATTTAAATATTTGCACGTCTGACCTATATTTTGTAGAAATCAAATAAATTTTAAAGTTGAAAATTACTTGATGGAAATAAGATACTTTTTCTTTACATAATTACATAATCTGATATAAAACCCCACAAAATAGAGGTAAAACATCCCAACATACAAACAAATTTGAAAATCATCTGAAATATCCATCCCAGCAAATGCAGACCTACATATAAAAGCAAACACATGCACAAACAAACACATTCACACTAACAAAGATACATATTATCATTACCTGCTGTAAATTGGAGGTGACACCAAAATTATCTTCCCGCGTTTCTTCTCCAACATGTATGGGAGTACTTTCTGTATAGTAGCATACGCCCCTCTGGCATTCACATCCATCATCAAGTCAAATTTCTTCAGCGGTGTTTCAACAACTTTATTCCACATTATTGCCCCTGCATTATAAACAACTAAATCCAATCCATTGTACACTTGCAGACAAGTATCTACCGCAACTTCTATTTCTTTTTCATCCCTTACATTACACTTTATAGGAACTGCAAAGCCATCAATTTCTTTAATTGTCTGGGATACTTCCATAATTGTTCCAGATAGCTTAAGAGGGTTGTCTACAACAGTTTTTGCTGCTACTCCAACTTGAAAGTTGTTTTTTGCCAGAGTCAGAGCAATCTGGCGCCCTATTCCTCTGGAGGCTCCAATAACTAACGCTGTTCTCAGTTTCGATGCTGCCATTTTGCTTTGGCCTTCTCCTGAGCTTTCTTTCAAATCAGCTAGCACTACCTTTTACCTGAAATAAAAATTATGTCTCACTTATTTACGATTATTTGAGAGGCAGTTCCTATTTATATTGTCTATTTATATTGTTAAAATTTAAAGTAGTCAGAATGTCTATCCCTCTAATGAAAAATATTAAGTTGGTTTGAGTAAATATTAATAGTTTGTTTACAAAACATAATTATTTTCATTTAAATATGGTTTGAACGCCAGAAAAGCACTCAAAATCAAAGACAGTTGTGAGACTGTTGAACATCTCCAGCAGAAAATTTATCTGAGGTGAATCCTTGTCCAAAGCCACCAAACATTTCATTCATTTGATGCAAGTTACAGGGACAAAACTGTCAAATTGTTTGATAATTATAGTAATATTTCTATGCTAGAGGTCAATTGTTTGGCATGCTGAAAAATGTATTTGTTCTGACAATTAAACATGCTTGAAATAAAATTTTACTTTAAAAATCATCACATTTATCAACTTGAAGATAATAAATTGAACTTTAGAAACTCTAGACCTAGGGTCTATTCCCATAGATTTTAGATCGATCTATCCCCGCGGGGAGTCTCACTAGATTACTTTCAGATAATCCGACTTAAATGTCCGTCCCGCCTACTACAAGCTGTAAGGGGGTAATTAACTTTTGTGTCCGCCCGGCTGACAGCTATTTAGCGTGAACCCCCAGGGAGTTAGGTCGATCTAAGGTAGGTTGATCTAATCTATGGAAATGGGGTGCTAGAAGATATTTCAAAACGAGAATCAATTCAGACATTTTCAGTATAACTTTGTTGTTTTCAAAGTGCTAAAATTTTTTAAAATATAAAGCATAGCAAATTTATCAAATAAAAGAAATGACCACACTCACAACTTGAAATAAAATAAAAACAAAATCATAAGAACATTTTTTCTCTGTTATATTTATTTATCATTAACGATCACTCCACATGTAACACATTCATCTAATCTCTTAACCAATTTTAATCATCTAATGTCACAAATAATTACTGGACCTGCAATCTAATTTTAGCTTCAGTTTTTGAAAGAAAATCATTTGTGCACATATGACTAGATGCCTTATCTACACAGCATTATCTATTCTCAAACTTACAAACTTCCGCCTTCAGCAATCCAATTTTTCTATGAACTCAAAGTCTCAACATCCAATTTAATTCCTTGACAAACAGTTAGTGCAGTTCAAAAAAAAAAAAAAAAAAACTTTACAAAAGCAAACATTTTGTGATAACACATTAAAATTTTTCCGTTTCTGTCAGTACAGAAACTAATGTGTTCCAATTGTTACAGCTTACACAGTAACACCTTGCAATACTGGAATCACTCACTTATATTTTTGAATAAACAACAAACAAAATCCTTTTATTGTTATACCACGTCACTATGCACCACCAGACAGATCTAAGTCATCCTTTGGCACCATGCGTGGAGGCTCATTGTCAGAATCACAGCGAAACTCTGAGAAGTCGTTCTCTCCCAGTGAGCGAAGGTAATCTTCGTCAATAAGTGCTTGGCCATTTAAACTGAAACAAATGTCCAAAATGTCTTTTCAATCATTCCAAATTATACATTTGTCATGTTTAGTTGCTAGGTGTTTTGTATTGTATTCTCATGTCATATTCTTATATATTTATAGCCATATGTACCATTTTCACCAGTTCCTGTAGGTGCATAAGATACAATAAGATGAATATTCTATTTTAAGATGACTTGGATGGGTAGATCTTTAACTTGAAGAATATATACAAACTGATCAGTATATTATAAGTTAGGCAAATGTGTATGAAAAATTTTAAAAATCACCAAGTATTTGTAGAAAAGATGTTATTGAAAAAGAAGTAGTCAAGCACGCATGTATGCCAACCGTGTATCTACTAGTAAACAGTTTGTTACACTGCTAACTTGTATTTTTTCTTGAGAGAAAGAGAGAGTGATGGAGAGAGAGAAAGAGAGGGGGAGAGGGGGAAGAGGGGAGGGGAGGGAGGGATGGGGTGCACATCTCTTTACCTATCTGTTTCCTCCATTGCTATATGAGTAACAGCTTTTGCCAATAGGGAATCTTTTCTCATCAACTTGGGGTCCACACCCTTCATTACTGACACAGGATTTTCAGTCACTGTTGCTGGCCACACTGAGGTTACACTTATTTCTGAAATAATGCAAATTTAAAAGCTTGAAAAGAACCCATATAATGCTTCCTTATCAATTAATAACTAACAAAAGCATCCATAATTTTGGCTTTAACAAAACTGGCTTTAGGTCTCACTACAGGCAGTCGAGGTTTGATTGCAATAAGTCTTTGTCTTATGTTATACCTCTTCAACCACTGCTTTAATGTCAACTGATTTAAAAGGATTTCATGAGGGGTGGGGGGGGGGGGGTGTTGACAGCTTGCAATGAAGCATCTACTCCTTGGTATTTTTTATTTTAAAAAAAACTTTTCTGAATGCTACTTTAAAATAACTGCATCTTACTCATGAAATTTTAAATCTTAAACTTTAAATAATAAATACCTTTCCAAAATGTTTTAGATAAAATTAGGGTTAAATTATTACTTCCCTTATTTAAACAACGATATCCATTTATGAGAGAACAGTTTCATTAGCTCTGTATGTATCAAATTAAATTATTGTTTTTCTTTTTAACAAGAGCTTATAAAATGTGGGTATTACCTCCAATATTTCTGTCATTTACCTAGTCATTTACTCCCTGATGATGGTGACTGACAGTCACAGAAATATTGGAGGTAATACCCACATATTTTATAAGCTCTTGATAAAAAGAAAAACAATAATTTAATTTGATATCCATTTACATTTACTTCTGATCACCAAATACAGTAAACACCTGACATTTCCCTTCACTCCATATTTTTATTTTTTTTTACCTGTTCCTTTTAACTGTTCTGCATAGGCCTGCATTAGACTAGTCATCCCATACCTGCCCACAGCATATGGAGTCTGGCCAATGTAGTATCTGAAGTGATGTGACAACTTTTAACTTGATGTTCAATAAAACACATCAAAATGTGGTTTCTTTTTAAAATATGTATGTTTTTATGTTTACCGAGATAAAATCTAAATTACTGCTATTTCTTAAGGCTGAAATGCATCAATTTATTAAAAAAATAACATTTTAAATGCATTGTATATAGTTATTAATTCCATTCCCAAAAAAGTACTGAAAAGATGATTTAGAAATAGAAAAAAAGCAAAACAAAACAAAACAAAACAAAACAAAGAGTCATGACACAATTTCTTACATACTCGGTAAATGTCTACATATGTAAAGTGAACATATATGAACTAATATCAATAAATAATATACTCAACTACAATAACTTTCAGATTCAATTTTTGGAAATGACTTTAAAGGAGAAACGGCTACATTACCTGGAATTAATAGGAGGTGCAACCAATACAATCCTTCCCCCTTCCCTCTTCTGTAAATGTGGCAGAGCACAATCTATCACGTTTTTAGCACCCTGTACATAAACATCCTTAGTCCAATCAGCATCTTTGATTTGTATATCCCTTACATTGTCCCACAGTATAGACCCAGCATTGTAAACAACCAAGTCCAAACCCTTGAAATCTCTCACAGCGCAGTTCACCAACGTCTGAATATCCTGAAGTTTTCCCACGTCACAGTGAACTGGGGTAACAAGACTCTGATGTTGCTCTAAAGCGGTGTTTGAAACCTCAACAAGAGATCCTGGAATGGTGGGATCACTGCCCATAGTCCTTGCTGCTGCGACTACCTGGTAGCCCTCACAAGCAATTGTGATTGCAATCTGACGTCCAATCCCTCTGGAAGCACCGACAACCACGGCTCCTTTGAAAGCGTGGGTCACTGGCCCTGGTCCAAACTTTCTCAAAATTTTCTTCAAGCTAATATGTTGCATATTTCAAAGTTTATATTTTACTATCCTATGACATGAAATGCTTTACACCAATGTTAACACACTGACCATGGGGACCTGAAGGCAAAGCAGTTAGGCAAGTATTTTCTCTATGTATTTGTACCTGCACCTGACCCTGGGAATTCTTGTACAGCAAAGTACCATATCTGAAATGATAAATGAAATAAAATGAGAAAGAACAATCTCCATTTTTAATTATTAGATTATATATATATAATCTTGAAAAAAAGGTAAAATTTTCAAATCATCATGTTCTTGGAAAATTTTTTTTCATTTTTTTCTCCCCCCCCCTCCCCCCACCAATTCCTTAAAAAGTTCCATAAAAAGTTCTAGTAAAGAGATCTAGCTGACATGGAAAATGAATATTTTTAAGGTCTAGTTGGGGACAACAAGTAGCTTTGCAGGATATGTATACGAGAAAGGTGACTTTGGGACATTTTCAAATGAGGCTACTGAAAAGATACATTGAAATTCAAAACCATATTTAAATGGCTTTAGATGTGAAGGTCAATAACTTATAGAACAATTGTAGTCCATCTTCAGTGGATGTATTAAAGGCAACTTCTACAGAAATAATTCAAAATAGACCTCATAGAATGATAGACTGGTAATTCTAACCAAGATATTTATCCCGGTGAATGTGAACAGAATTGCATTTTAAAAACTTTTCAAACATTTTATTTGAGATAAACTTCTTCAACATACATAAATATAGTAACAGCAAACAATGTAAAATGGTATGCACCTATGTTATCATGTAAACCAATGAAAATTCAACTAGAACACCAAGTCTTCAACATGTAACATTATATACCAACATACAACAATCTTACTACCAAGCTAATGAACATTTCTGCTCAACATTCTTCGTTTCTTATACAATAAAACTGTACATCAGCACTCTTATGTTATGAAATATTCAGTTTACAAAAAAGTTAAAAATTCAAAATTCATTGAAATATATGGAAGATTTCACGAGGTTTCAGTAACATGCGGATATAACAAATAGCAATAAAAAATAAGCTTGCACTTAACAAACTTTGAAGTAAGAAAAAGGCTATTCCACAGTATTTTTTACTCTTTCATATCATATACCAAGATTGTATCTCATCTTTAAAATTTTGTATATGCATATTTTTGTAATTTTTTGGCAACATGCACCTTCACTTCTAAAAGTACACCTTCACTTAATCTAAAGATACTCATCATTTGGAAGTTTTTAACTTCATATAAAAAAAGTATTTTAAAAGTTACAACTTTAAAAATAAATACTATTATAGTCTATAGTATTATAGACATTTAGGTATTGAACTGTTCAGAAGTGATCTGGAAGCTACAATCTTTGTGTAACATTTTTTAGATAAAATGCAACAGAATATACAGTAAATATCCTGGAATCAGTTTTCGATGTTTTTCAGTTTTGTAACTGATGCTGCCTTTATAATTATGTTCTTCTATGAGAATGTAGAAATGTTCCAACCTTTAAACATTTTTTCACATCACTACCACAAAAAGAGGCAAATATCTAGTAAGCCAGTGTCTGTATCGTAACAATCTGCTTAAAACAATCCAAAGCCATGTATACAATGAAAGTAAATCTAAACTAAATTCCAGAAGTTTCATCATTTCGTTTCAAAGGAAAAATCCTCAAATAACATTTCAATTTCTGTGGCAGCGGTAATGATTCTGTTTGAAACCTGAGACAATGGTGAGTGAAATGTGACCTTATTGTGCGCCTGCACAAGATGCTTAAAGGCAGAGGATTGTAAAGATGCTCTAAAATCCACATCTTTAATTCAAGGTCGAAGTTCAAGATGTCAAACAATTCCTCCAATGAGGCATCATCACTGAAGAGGTAACGTTCAAGGTTCAAGTTCATTCCTGCTTCCACCAGTAACCTAACAATGTCAACGTTCATGTTTTCTAGAGCAAGAGTTAGTGCAGAGCCATCTTGATGATTGCTGCACGTTTCTGTTTCTTTGCCTTCATTGTCATCACTGTTTGCACCATGATTCCCTTCCTCAATACCAGGGTCATTGTCAAGGTCAAGGTCGCTGTCATCACTTTCCTCTGTGGTGTCAAAATGAGCATCAATATCAGCACCATAGGATATCAGAAGCTTTGCGACTTCAAGCAGTCCATTCATAGCACACACATGTAAGGGACTGAGTCTTTGGAGCTCAAAGGAGGACTCGCAGATGGTGGCATTGACAGAGCAACCACAGTCAAGCAGTGCCTTAACAGCATTATAATTACTTTGGTATATGGCAGAGTGTATAGGACGCATGCCTTCATTATTTGGTTTGTCCAGGTCACAGCCACTCTCTACCAGGATTTGCAAGAGTTTCCCTGGGTTGTTTTTAACATGCGATACAGCATGAACTAGGGTGTTTCCTTGCAGGTCTTTCATATCAGAGACCTTCAGTCCTTGGGCGATGGCCTCACTAAGCAAACATACTGCAATTTCTACCTTCCCACTACATTTGGTCAAAGAAAGCATGATTGGACTCTGGCCATCCTGATTACCCACAGACAAGTCGGCACCCTTCTCCAGCAGTTTTCTCACCAGGGCCAGGTTCTCAGTGGCAACAGCTAGATGCAGCGGAGTCCCCTTCTCTTCTATGGAGCTGGTTTTCCAGAACCTAAACTGTGGCCCTTGCCCATACCATGCCACATCATTGATATTCGCTCCAGCTTCCAGAAGCATGTCTACAATGTCAAAGTTCTCGTTTTGCACAGCGTGATGGAGAGGACATTTGTTGGATGTGGTCTTTGCATTGACATCAGATCCTGCACCTATCAGCAGTTTTGCAATGTCAGTGTGATTGTGAATGCAGGCAAAATGCAGTGGACAAACTCCGAAGTGTGTTCCCCTGTTCACGTCACATACTGTATAGGGATCACTGAGCTGTAACTTAGCGAGGCGATCATCAAGAATTTCATGGGTGTCATCTCCAGAACCACTAGAACCAATTTCTGTCTCTACGAACTGCAGCTGTTTTTGTTGTTGTGAGTGTTTTGGTACTTCCCTTTGTGATTGCTGTGATTGTACAGGTTCTTCTTGACAATGAAGCAACTGCTGTTGCTGATGTTCAAGAAGTTCCTTTTTATGGCCCTCATTTGCTGTACTCAACAGCAGCTCTACAGCCTCTTTATGTCCCAGCCTACAGGCAATATGCAGCGGGTTCTCCCCCTCAGTCTGGTTACATATATTCACACGGCATCTCCCTGAGGAGATGAGCAGTTTGGAGATTTCTGTGCTATTTTGAGTCACAGAATAATGGAGGGCCATGCTGCCTGTCTTGTCCTTCTTATTAACATCACAATCTGGTGTGTTGACCAACAGCTGTACTATATCCATAAGTTCTTTCTCTGTGGCAATAATAATGGGTGGTTTTAAGGAGATCGGGTCCTCCCTGTTCACTCGGCATCCTCCTTGAATTAACATTTTTGCAATGTCAACAAAGCCTTTTCTCAAGGCTAAACATAGAGGGCTCTCCCCATCATAATCCTGGACATTCAAGTTGCATTTGGCTTGGATGAGGACCTGCACAACCTGGGACTGGTTGGCGTTGATGGCGGCACACAGAGGCGGTCCTTGCATCCCAAACCCATGGTCAATATCTGCTCCTTTGACTATCAGTCTCTCCACCATAGCCACATTGCCAGTTTTTACAGCAGTGTTTAAATGCTGCTGCAGGCTCATGGCGCTCAATCTTCAGTGCAGCACACTGCAAAGTCTGTTAAGAGAAAATGCAGTGCTTACAGCTGTGAATGGGTTGTTGAACATTATGAAAGAGTAAATTAATGCATAGTGTATTGTAGTGTAGTAAAGTGTAGACGTGACTTGTGAGTTGTTTACACAGTAACAGGTAATTGAAAACTTCCCTTCAGTTTTAGCAGAGAATTGTTCGATTGCTTAGAATTGCACGTGGAATAAAATTTGCTCTTTTTCTTGTTTTTTTTTTTTTTCGATAGTAATCTTTGGTGATCAGTTCCAGTGGAGTTTTAAGTAAACCAGTCTTTGTTGACCACATGGAAGGAATGCATTGACTCCAGCCAACAAAGAAAAGATCGACTGGCTACACGCGGAGAAAATACCTCTCTACCTTACCATGACATCCATTCATTTCTCAACAGACTTACATTTCTCCAAAATGGGGCGGGCTAACTATCTTCGTTTGGAGATCTGTCAGCTGGACATCACTTCTGAATCTGAATTATGAAAGTTTTGCAACATTCGTTTTGATTTGTTGAAGTGGTCACATGAGGAGCATAAACCAATCGAAGTGCGCTTTGCAAAAATTCACGCTCAAAATGGCTGCGCCCACGTTTTCCACGATTTTGTTTTTTTCTGTAGGTTAAAGACTGATTATTCCAATAACAACAAGAAAAGTAAGTTGAATTTGATATACTTTTTAAAGTAGGATTTACTGATTTTATTTCAGGTATCTTTTTGCAATGACAGTCGTTTCTTAGAAAGATAATTTCCATACCTTAATTTAAATTCACAGATGGTCGCTTTGACTAATTTAATTGTAGCAGGATTACCCCTGCTTGTAGCTTCCCTCAGCTAACAATTTACAAGTTTTGTCTACTTTACGAGTAGCACCCACATATGTATAGATGTATAAATGTATTGTTTACTAGTCATTAGTGAGGCTTGCTGTATATTCTAGCCCCCACGACACATTTCTCTGTCTGGAGTAAAAGTTGTAATAACTAATATTATTAGAAATTGACTTACACCAACAGTTTATTGATAAATATGAGACAAATTTAAAAAAAACTCATATCTTTACATAATTTTAAGACAAATCGTTTCATGCTTGCCCAGTGGTACATATTTGTTTTTGCATTTATAAGTCCTCTGTATATTTCTTTGTTTACTATCAGTACTTATTTTCTCCATGATTTAAAAAAGGCTAATTACTATTTCAGTTCACGTTTTGAAATGCCTGAATACAGCCAGTGATGTGCTCAGCCAGATGATCAAGCCTCATATCCAGCAAGGATGGGGATACATGGCCTCTCCTCCTTCATTCAAGATAACCCCCATCTTCTCCAGGAACACAAACTCCATGACACAAAGATTATCATAGACGGAAACAACTTGTATCATTTCCTTCACTACAATTATCGAATTCCTTATCACTGTGGTGGAGATTATGATACTTTTGCAAAGAATATACGGGACTTCTTTAACACTTTGCGGACCTGTAATATTTCTCCTGTTGTTGTGTTCGATGGAGGGTATGAGAGTGATGATAGAAAACTACGTACCACCCTGAGGAGATCCCAGGAGCGAATTCATCTTGCAGGTAAATTAAGGACTCATTCCAAATGTACCTATAATTTTAATGTTTATCTGTTTATCCTGTAGAATGAATTTTTGTGAAATTTAGAGAAACTACTTATGTGCTGGAAGAGTAATATGTTAAAAAATAAATTTATAGTTAATTCAGTTTTTGAAGTCAAATTCATGTGATCCAAAAATAATCTTTTTTTATTATACATTTTTATTGAAATGTTTTAAATGATAATATAAATCATATTTTTTATGCATATTACATTTTATGATATTAACAGGCTTCATCTCCCAAGGCATGCGAGGGAAAATACTTCCTATTCTGGCCTATGAAGTGTTCCGTGATGTCCTTGTTGAGCTGGACATCTCCCACGTGACATGTGACTTTGAGGCAGATGACCAGATAGCTGCTTTAGCCAATGAGTGGAACTACCCAGTGGTCAGCAATGACAGTGACTTTTATGTATTTGATGTCCACGGTGGCTACATACCATTTGACCATATAGATCTCAATGTACAAGTGTATAATGAACCTGATGTTGATTCTGATGGAGGGCATGGGATGCTGGGAGGCTGTGTGGATGCTAGCAGAGAAGAAAAAGAATGTAAATATCTTCGAGCCCGTATTTACAGGGTTCACAACTTCTTGCAACATTTCAGTTGTACACATACAGTAGCGTTGCCAGTATTGGCAGCTTTGTTAGGGAATGACTTTGTTGACAACAGGGTGTTTGAAACGTTCTTTGCTCAGGTGCCTCTTCCAAAAGGGTCCAAGCATGACTTTTTCACCAATAAGAGGCATAGCAAAATCATTGGACTTATGTTGTGGATGAAGAACTTCAGTACTGTGGAACGCATTACAAACCAACTGCTCCCTCATATTCAGAAGGATAAAAGAGACAAAGTTACTGAGATTATAAAAAAATCTGTGGAAAATTACACTAATCCCACAACAAAACTGGCAGATTTTTTCAGCAGTCCTGTTGAAAAAGAGTTGGGACATCTACTGACTTATGATCAGTGTATTTTACCAGCTTGGTTTGCTGAACAGTTTAGATCCAGCAGGGTTCCCAAGTTAATGCTGAATGCTGTTTCTCTTCATCGCATTTTTTTATTGGCTCAGGTTGAGGACATGAAGCAATCAAGCTCTTATACATGTTCTAGAAAACTCAGGCAAATTATATATGGTTTATTACTAACTCATGATAAGAACTGCAACAAAGAAATAAATGAAAGCACCCAGACAAACGATATCAATAAAGGGGCAAGTAAAGAAGTTAGTATTACAAAATCAACAGAGGATGTAATGACCAATGTGAAGTTAGTAAAGGATTCATCAGACAATGACAAAGATATATCAAGTGTTGCATATATTGTTGAGTATGACAGAGAATACAAGTCACAGAGAAAGATCCCAGTTGAGCCAATGTTTGAAATACCACAATATGGACCTCTCCCATCACTGAGTTCCATTCCAGCACTGAGCTGTCAAGAAAGAAGGGACCTACTGGTCAGCTCCTTACAGCAGACTGGAATAGAGAGGTTGGACGAGGTGGCAGAAATGTTTCAGCTGGTCCTAAGGGCCATGGTTTTCTGGATTATGAATGCACACCCCAGACTGACCCAGCTCCATGTCAGTGTGCTACTTGTGACTCTTATTAAACTAGGTAGAGTTTTTTTCATTCATTATTTTATTCATTCGTTAAAGGTGTATTAGATTTGCATTTTTTTAATCTCTTAAAATGGGTGATATTTCTCTATTTTCGTCTGCTGATCATTTTAAATAAATGAAAAAATGTACTTGATTTAGATTATTTGACTGTTTGTCTAATAGAAATCTGCCTACTGTATGCTTGCTTCTGTCAAGTATTTGTTTATATGTTTTGTTTATCTTTTCAGCTGTAATAGATCCAGCCTGCATCAAAGCAGGTCTCAAAGAACTTCCCCAAATCAAACAACCAAAAGGCAAGGGGAAGAGAGTTGCCCAGTCAAAGGTCCAGAAGAGTGCGGCAAGTCCCCCACTGTCCACTGATGCCTGTGTGTATGTTGACAGCCTGGAGACGGACATCAAGCTGACCACTCTAAGAACAGCCCAAGAAAGATTGCATAAGTTCATGGCAGCCCCTCAGCACAGTACGGCTCACCCCTTTAGTTCAACAGTTATTCATGGTTTTGCTCAGTATCAAACCTGTCTCCAAGCTGTGACATACTTGAACCAGTTACTGCTAGAGCCCTTTCATAAGGTCCACCCAGCATTGATTTTCAATGGGACATTTGCATACAATTTCTATCAAGAACTCAAAGTCAGACCCAATCCAAATTTGTTTATTAGTGAGACTTTAGGAAGGGCTGGTCCCATATCGGAGTTTTATTTTGAACTTTCTGAAAAAGTTCTATCTTCTTTGCCCACTGTTGGTTGTTTTCAGCACGTGTCACAGATGAGTGCCAAGAAAAGTAAAAAGAAAACACCTAAGAAAAAAGCTGGAGAAGAGAAAATGTTAATGAACCAGGACAGCGACTCAGAGGAAAGGTCAAAAACTCCTGATGTTGAAAAGAAGAGGGTGAAATATGCTGATGTAGAGAATAAATTTTCTAGTCTTGTGATTGATGATGATGATGATGATGATGATGACAGTGATATTGACTTGATATAGTAGACTTCACTTTTGGGATGTTTGATAAATAAATGCTGTCACTCATGTCCATAAAGCATCCTAAAGCTGGTTAATGTAAGTGGTGTGCCTTTGAATAGGTAAAAAAAGATATGGATCAATGGTTAATGGTACTAAATGAAATAAAGTTACTTACTGAACGGGTTCATTTTTTATGTACAGACACAGATGTGTCTGTACATATAGCCATCATCTGCGTCTGTCGTCGCCGTCGTCGCCGTCGCCGTGCACTTTTACCGATAACACGATAAGTGGAAAACCATTTTACCTTTTGACTTGAAACTTGCAGAACTGATAAATATNTGCATCTTTATTTTCTGTTTTTTGTCTGTACATTTGACAGCTTTGCTGCCTTGTTATTTTAATTTATTTGCATAAATAGTGTATTGTGCACGGTCTCCATTAATGCAATAAATGAATAACAAAAGTTGCTGAGGCTACATGCAGACATCTCAGAAGCCTGGAAGAGCTTTTTAATCATTGAATACTTGTTCTCACTTTTTTTATCTAAGATTTTTGAGAAAAATGCTTGGGTTGGTTGGTGGGTGAGTTGAAGCAGTTTATAAGGCCTACAATAGGGCTGTAACCTGTGATGCTCCTTTAAACACTGATTGAAGGAAACGTAAGTGATGAAGTGGAAGCTAGAAGGAAAAGGACTAATAATTTATGAGCCAAAATTTATTTTTCATGAAAAAAGATAAGGTGAAGTACTTGATAGTGTGGCATCTTTAGGAACATGAAACATGAAAATCAATCTGTAACAGCTAGTCCTTCAGGCGCAAGTTTTCATCTGAGTTGCATTCATAAGTGTGTTGCAAGCACTGCTGGTGCTTTTAGGTGGAGGACTCGAAAGTGGTAGTTACACGTTAGAAATCTTAATTATTGGCCTGATACTTTTATATGCTTTTCACTAACACTATGTCAATTAGTGTTATGTACTCTCAGTCAAGTGTTTTGGTTGGTCATTTTCCACACTAAACATTTTAAAGAAAAGAGCACCCAACTTATAATAAAAACAACAACAATAGATATTAAGTAAGCTTAATAACTGCAAATTGTATAATTTAAAGGCCTTTAATTTTGAAATAAAACAAGCAGTTTGGATTTTCTTTAACATTCGCACACAATATATATTTCACAGGTAGTGTGGATATGATTAGAAAAAACTCAAACTGTGGAACATTTTTCTTCAATTAATTTATTCTTAATCAAATAATATAAATACCTCAATATGAAACATGTTGAAAGCATACATGTGTCTGGTGGGAGTTCAATATACAGATACTCATTGTAAATTGAAATGAATATAGCTCAGCTTGTAATAAAAATTGTACCCTGCATTTTAACAGTAATAATATGAATGAAATCACTTAAGTTTACATGTGATCATCAAAAACAAGGTTACAACGAGGTGTTATCAAAGTTAAAGTTATATTAACTCAATTTTCATAGTAATGAAAATAAAGGTTTGTTTTCATTAAAAAAATTAATTGCATATCGGTGGGTATATCTGTTAAATTCTTTTTTGAAATAAAATGTGAAAATAGAAGAAAATGTAAAATCTTGCTAAATTTGTTATTTGTAAAAAAGGATGAGTGTTTAACGAAATGAAATATTCTATAAGAAAAAATCTTGTAGGTCTTACACTTTTTCAATTTTCAAGAATGTTGAACAGCACAAAAACATTTCGGTGGGTACATGGAAAAAAATAATTTTCCTTTACACTGATCCATTCAACTTAAAATATGAACACATTTGAACTGGTATGCGTAGAATTAAAAAACTAAAAGAATGTTTGTATAACAATGACATAAAATATTCTATAAGAAAAAAACCTTGTAGATCTCACGCTTTTTCAATTCTTGATAATGTTAAACAGCACAAATACATTCCGGTGGGTACATGGAGGAAAATAATTTTCCTTTTTTACTTAGAATATGAACACATTTGAACTGGTATGTGTAGAATTAAAAAACTATAAGTAAAAATTAAAGCTAATTTAAAAATCCTTTCAACCTCCCTGGATTTTCTTATCAAAAACATCAGTTTTCTGAAAGTGGTATAAATTGCCCCTATATTGTCATTCTTCACTCACTTCAGAGGGACATTTATTGTCAAATAGTGTGACCATTAAAAATATGTCCTTAGAGTCAGTCGGCCATCCATACTTAGGTGGTAAAATATTATCAAATATGAATGACTTCAAAAATGCAAAGAAAAGAAGAAATGGTACATGTTTGTGAACCATGTTATCAAGGAATAAGTGTTTTTGGCCAAATATAAAAGATATTACAAAAATTGCACAATTCGCTATTTCCCTTTGCCACTGTTATAACTTAAATGGTACTGATGAAATACCTTAAAATAAATTCAAAGTATTATTTTCATAGTGCCCTTGATTCATTTTTTTGTCACTCCCATGTTCAAGTTTTAAAAGACACCCTACGAGGAGTCCCTCCCCTTTTCAAAGCATCCTTCTCTTTACTATTAATAATTGATTTCACTTTGGGTGACTCCAGGTGCCCATCTTTTGCCCCATGCCCTGCACAGCTTTCCTCCTCCTCCTCATCCGAGTCCACATAATCTATGCCCTCAATATCCAAAAACGGACACTTCCTGGCAGTAACTGGACAGTAGCTAGGACAATCAAATGGGCATTCCTTCTTTGTTAAAGGAATTTTCTTATACATCTCCTCATTGACATACTCAATGAGGGCCAGGTATTCTTGCAGCTTCTTTGGCAGTGGGAGGTCTTGGACCTGAGTGGAGGGATATGGCCCAATGGCAACTCGTATAACAGAACGACACAGGGCAGAGAGGGACGCAGGCTGACTAGATTTGGCAAATAACCATTCAAACAGTTCTGGCTTCTGGTACAGAGAAAGGGGTAGATTGCGCTCCAAGATCCACTTTTCGTATATATAGTATGGATTGATTTCTAGCAACAACTTCATCAGCTGGAAAAGTCCCTCAGAGGCAGCCAAGTAGAAATATGAGTTCTCTTCCTTAGGACGTTTCAGTTTGCAACCCATGTGGACTAGAGTTATTGCACAGTTCTCGCTGTGGATTTTGATAGCATGCTGCAGGGGTGTCTCACCCCATTTGTACTTCTTCTGCATATTATAGCCAAATTCAACAAGTATGCGGCACATTGCTGCATTGTGTTGATCTACTGCTATAGTCATTGGTGTTACACCTTCCACTGATGCTGTATGCATATGTATACGGTTGGTCAGAAGAAGTTCGGCAATGTCATACCTTCTGTAGGCCACTGCGTAATGAAGAGCGTTGTACCTGGTGTCTGTCTTGGCATTAAGATTACACAGGGAATTGATTAAGACTTCACAGATTTCCTTGTTGTCTAACTGAACACATCTGAAATAGCAGAGAAAAAATCAAATAAGATAATGAAGACAATTAAACAACAGATGAAAGGTATTTTAAATAAATAATTTTCCAAAATGAGAAACCTATATGCCAAAATTAAAAAATATATTCAATAAAAAATCACCCAATGTATGCATTCACTTGTCGCTGAAGTCAAGGAGTTACAACAGAAACATCTTCAAATTTCAATATAAACATTAAGAAGACATTTTTAAATATAACCAGTATATAACCAGCATGTAAAATAAAATATTCAAATAACTAAATTTTAAATAAACATATTTCTATGACAATGGTATCTCCTCCGTAAAAACAATTAATTATCCAAAAAGGTACAATATGTCAAGATCAAATGAGTAGGCTAATAACATGGTCTGTCTAATGAAATAGAAATGACTCACTTCATGAGTGGTGATTCCCCACCCACATTAAACCCCAGTATCCTCAAGTTCACATTGGCCCCAGCATGGATCAGCAGCTGACAGACCTTGGCAGAATTACTCAGGATGGCCCTGTAAAGGGGTGTGGTGCCTACAATAGATTTAATTTAAGTAGTAAAGATATGTTCTACCAGTACAAGTGTGCTCCTCAGCTCGAAGCAAGTCAGCATGAAGCTATGCGTAATAGACAGGGATGTGTGCAGCTCAACACCTAGGTGTGAAATCACCTCCACTGATACATATACACGGTAGGGGGTATGTCAGGTGAGGATCACATTCCTGTTCATCATCTCAGTTCCCACAGGGTCTGATACAATAATTTTGTAACAGACTACGTAATAGCAGACTCTGTGGTCAGAGAGTAACTCCTAAGTCAAGCATCCATATTTGCTGCTCTCTATCTGGCTGTTTTGTCTGCTTGGATGAATAAACTCTGAATTTCAGAGGTCACTTGAAGTTCATTTCTATTGTGAGTATGCTTACAGGGAGATTCCCAGTAATTTCTTAACTCAAGATGGATAAAGAAGAATTTGATTATGTATAACAACTTTAATATCTATTTAATGCTGATGTTTCAGAGGTCCCTTCCAGATCAGNTCCACAGTTTCTTTCTCCACACTATTTTCAAAAGTTTTGATAAAATTCCAATACTGAAGAGGATCTCCGTCAAATTTGTCTATTTCAACTTTAGGAATTTGTATAGAGTTCACTAAATGATGAATCACATCATGACTACTCTGGTTTTGAGTCAAGTTGGTGGAATTTACCTGAATGTCCAGTTTCGTAGATGAAATTGGGGCACTGGTCTCCATCTCAGCTTCAGCATACGCAGTTTCCTCTGCTAACAATTTTGCTCTTTCAGTGTCCAACTTGAGTTTCTCCCTTTGTTGTTTCAATTTCAATTCCTGTTCGTCCAAATGTTTCTTCACTTCAAAAGATGCCAATTCTGCCTCAATGGCCATCCGTTTTGCCTTCGCTTTCAAGCGAGCTTCAGTTGAGCTCGTGCTCAAACTGCTAAATAAGCTGGCCGTTTCTATGTCTTCTATTTTTTGTTGCACGTCCATTTTGACCTTTGACCTTTAGATCTCTCGAGTTTCACTGTTGCGGGTGTCAGTCCAATTTTATTCAATTGTCAACGATATATAACATCAACTGGTAACAAATGGTACTGTTTATTGTCTAACATCAACTTATGTCAACTTACATCAACTTTCATCAACTTTCAACTGGAAACAACTGGTAACAACTTTCATCTGAATCAACGTGAAACTCGTTGCGAGAATCTGACTTGTCTAACAAACACGTGGCGGCAAAAACTAAATACTATCAACACCGATACTACAATTAAGGTCAAGACACTACTAAAAATAGCTACTTGTCAGTTACAACTTGATTGATTGTTTGGTAAAACAGTTAACTATTTTATAGATTTAAAATGGGAAGAAACAGTTATGTAATTTTGGTTGGGTAATTTCAATTTGAGCTATGACAGATATGACAGGAAGCATTTGAAACCCACTGACATTGTAGAGACACATCTATACCACTCTCTGAAGCATTATAGGTTAGTCTAGACTAACTCTCAGTACTAAATGACGTATATAGGATTCAGGTTTTGTCTTCTGGCCTTCCAGATATTTCTGGCTGCATTAAATTTTCCACTTTCCCATGGCTGCCTTTGACTCCAACAGACAGACATGTTATGTCATCAACTGAAAAGTAAGATGAATTAGTTTTTGTTCCTGTGAATATTTTTCCATTGTTATGAGGTTTAAAATGATATAATAACATTATTTTGAGCACAGTAAAGAACAAGTGTATGGCTGATAAAAGAGAAGAGTGCTTCATAATATGTTTTAAGCCCTGCTTGATAGGAAGATGCATAGCTGGTTTGAAACAGCATGGGTCTTTATACAAACAAGATTTAACCTATTCATTTTCACCTTTCAGCTCACTACACAGTGGAGACCAGACCATGGTGATAAGTGCATGTGAGTTTCTTAGTGATGTTGTCTTCTTGGATTTTCCTGCTGAGGTCTTTCTGCAACGACCTAGCATTGTCAAGGTAAAGTATAACTGTGGTGATGACTACCTAGATCAAATAAATTGATTAATATGATTTCCCTAAGCAGTGTTTGATAGTGGCACTTAAATACAATTATGTCAGATTTCCAAACGGTAAAAGGGACTCATGCCATTTGGCAGGGTTTTGTGAGCAAATACAAATGATAAATCTTAAAAACAAGGTATGTTGGATTAAATAGTAATTGAAATTTACCTTCTGCATTGGCCTAAGTCAAAAATGCACACTTCGGTTGATTATAGTAGTCACTATCTCACAAACTCTGTACACCAGGCTGACTTCAATTACTGCGTTTCAGATTTTGTTACAACTGCTGCAAGTGCCCAGTGAGGGTGGGACATCAGGTGTTGTGACAGCTGCAGTGAAAACACTACGAGACCTTTGTGTCCATCTGCAGCACAGGATCCACTTTTATCAGGATCCAACTCTGTATACACCAAAAATAGGTGATGCATCATATAATAATACATGTATTTTAAAAGTGCATTGTCTTGGAAGATAACCAAGGGTTTTCAAGGATTTAGGGTACAGGGAATCCCAAAAGGTGAATCTGTAATTTGGTCATTGATTTACAGGGAGTCCTGGGGAAAGCCTTGAAGATAGTCTTAATTAACACCTTACTGGTGCTTTCCCTCTGTTTTTTTCCTTGAAAAAAAGTGGAATTAACTGAGATGCTCAATTTAAAATGTAAACAGCATTTGTCAAAGAAGAATCTTATTTATATTTAGATGCTTTGTTGTTTTTTTCTTATTCTTCTCTTTTCATGCTCTTTGTAATATTGTTTCAGACTTTGGGGCATCTCCTCCATCAAGTGTTGCATCTCCTAGCAATCAGACTCTTAATTCTTCTGATACAAGACCATCTGTGATTGGTCGAAGTGATACCCGTAACCAGGGTGATGGTCAAGATAGAGATACTTCGCCATCAGATAGTTCAAGGTTAGTTAACAGTAAACCATTAAGAAACTTAGTGCTATTTTTTTCTTTAGTGCATTAGTGGTGGTGGCAATATCAAATTAGGCAATCTTGACTAATTTTTCTTCTGTAAATATATATTTTAAAGTGGTTTTTGCTCTCTTGCTTCCCTGCATTGTCATCTACTTATTATATCTAAATAAACATATTGATTTTAAGTCTAAATTCCAAATACGTTCTTTAAACTTTACAATAAGTTACAATTTTGTGTGGTACATATTTCAGTTGACTCCTGGCCATTATGATCTGTGTTGATGATTTTGCCTCCCTGGGGAGGATTATCATCATTTTTATAAGCCCTGCTGTTATGTGAGGCGCTGAAAAAAAGCATGCTTATAATATTGTTCTCTGCCTGAACCCTGCTTCAACCCTTAAGCACTGAGTGCCAAGCAGGGAGTCAGCAGATACTGTTAATAAAGGATTGGTCAAACTCGTGCCTCTTGCTCTGGAGACAAACACTCTAATCAGAAGTCCATCTGGTCAGTACAAATTATCCTTCATTTTATTTCGTTTCTGTCCTCATTTCAGACCAGTGTCCCCTCAGGAGGACCAAGACATGGGTAATCACCAGCAGGAAGACACAGATGTTGACGAGATGGACGCCCTGCAGTTCTCTCAACTGACCCTTCCACAGTGCTGTCTCCGGACACTGACCAGGGCTGCCCCCTTGCTGCGAACTGACCGCAAGGACACCCTGGTGGATGTAGCTCTCTTGATGGACGAGAGTTTGGATGTACTGGGGCTGAGTCTCACAGGTCAGGTGTGGACAGATGGCAGTATAACAGCTAGAGATATGGTGAGTTTGATAAATAAAGACTTGTTATTATGCAGGAAAGTCTGCACCTTTATTTCATTTATCACATCTGGAAGTATATCTGTTGGTGTATAGAGCATACTAGATATTTGAAAAAGGCTGGTTTTCAGGAAAGATGTTTTACCATAGTGATAAATGTTTAGTTCTGTAGTTGCTTTTATGCATTTTTGATGAACTTGGTTCGAAAAAGAGTACCAGATATATGGTGTCATCTTTAGAATGGTTTGAAAAGCAGGATGAATAATTTAAATGTTCTTTTCGGCAGATTAAGAAAGTTTATGCGATCTGATAAAAAGCGTCAATTTATTTATTCAGAATGAATAGCAGTATATAGCAATATAGTTCTAAGAATATCTTGTGCTTTGTCTATTTCAGGTTGAGAAGTTACAGGAATTTTTACAAATCCTTGGTGAAGTCTCCAGTTACCATCACCACCAGTCTGGCACCAGTGGTGACAAGGAGCAGCACCGCCTTGGCTTCCTGGTGGTCAGCGTATTCCTGCACAAGTTCCTCAAGCTGTTGGTGCCAATTGAACAGGTAGTTAAGAATATTTTTGCTGAGTGTTTGAATTGTTGTGAGAATTGTGTTCATTTGTTAATTTTTGATTTGTAAGAATCATAATCAGCAGCAGTGGTCTTAAGCAAAAATAATCTATAAATACAATTTATTGATACAAATACAAATTATTGATAATAAAAGATCTTATTTATCTGGTAACTGTCAATAAAGATAAGTGCAACTTCCAGTAATGAGATTTTTCTGTCTCTTGATGGAATTCCACCTTTTTGAGAGCCAAAAATTACATTTTGAGATAGATGCAGAGGGCCCCCTGGACCCCATGACTTTTCACTTAATAGCAGTCTTTTTATACCTGAAATTCTTTATGATATTTCCTTCTTGTCATCCATACCACTAAAGGCTCAGTCTGTGATCTCGGAGCACCTGAGTCAGTCAGTGAGCTGGATAGTGTTTGATGAGGCGCTGTCCCAGAGTCTCCCTGCCCTCAGACCTGCTTTCCTGCCTTACCTGGAGGCTGTGGATGGAGAGGGGTACCAGAGGTTCCTGCAGGCTGAGACCATAGTGGTGTCCATGCAGAAGACTTGCCAGTTCTTACTGAACTGCCAGAACAGGGTAAAATACTGTGCAGAACAGATGGTTGTTAATAATAATTTATTATAGCAATAATGTCATATTGAGTACTGTTTTAAAAGCTTGCTTTTAAAATATTGGGTTCACAAAGGACTAGTGAGTCAAAAACTGGTATCTGTGATTTTCACAAAATATGTATATTAAATGAAATTATTGGTCGTCATATGTATTGAGAAGGAAAAAAAATCCCACTGGTCATTTATACCCGATTTGATGAAAAATATAGTCATTGAATTCATTAAGAATTATTTTGAATTCAAGAAGAACATGATACTAAGCAAGACCTCAGACAAGTCAATTTTTAAACCAATTAATAATTTTTTCCACAGTGTGATCAAGATGCCACAGAGCTGATACAGATTGCAGAGGACTCCCTGCCCAGTCTTCCATATCACTGTAACCTCACACTGGTGGAGGAGTATGTCAGACTGTGCTCTGATGTGTAAGTTAATACTGAGTGTATAGGCATGTCTTCATGTACATGTTGTAATGTCCCAGTCTACCCTGTCACTATAACTGAACACTGTTAAGCTCTGGACTACTTGCATGTTACTTGTGCAGTGCTTTTGTATGTGTGTAGTAGTGTCTATGTGTTAGAGTACACTGCCATCATAGACTTATGCTGGTAAAAAAGTGCCTTCTCTCTCTCTCACACAAATATCGTAGAAATCATAAACTAGATGGATTTACATTTGACATGCCTTAGTAACTAAATCTCTTTGTCTGAACATACCTGTAAGCACACCAAATATGATACACCCATTTAAGTTAAAAGGACACAAAAGAGGATTTTCGCGCCAAAATTGATTTATCCTGATTTATCCCGAGGTTAACACTACTTTTCCGCGATTTACCAACCTTTAATCTATCATTCCCGGCACTCGCCATCGCTCTGTAACATTTTTGGAAAATACAATAAAAAGAAAACCTCCGCTTAAGCGGAGGTTTACCAACAACCACCTCCATTTTCATAATTGAGCTCTCTAGACTTCCGGATCTCGCGAGATTCTCGTATTGCGACCTAGTTAAAACCAGTTCAAGCTGCCGGGAAAGGACAACGTGAAACAGGAGGCTCAGTTATGCTGGGAGTCCTTCGAAGAAGCGAAGACAGATAACAAAAAGAAAAAAGAAACAGCCTTTACAAAAAACATGCGTAAAACAGTGTATCAGCAAATGTACGACAGGCAAACAATAAACACCGGCGAGGAAGAAGGCAGATGAAAACCTGCTTGGGTGGCCATGGATACGAAGAATGGCCTGGCCGCGAAGTATTTACTGGATTTGTGAGTACCATTTACAATAATCTTTGAGATAAGACACCAGTGAAAATATTTATTAAGCACAGAGATTTATGTTTATTTACGTGTGTTCGTTGTATATCTTAACGATTGTCAGGCTCGTCTGTCAAAATATGCCATGAAATTGTAACTAATATGAGTGGTATCGATGACAGAAATTGCAAGTGTTGCTCATATGTCGACTCTGACAGGGTTTGGGTTAGTTTATAGAGCAAAGAAAGTTTAAATAAAAACGGACATGGTGGGAGATACTAGTCTCATTANTTGTATATCTCATGGGATTCCCCTGCGAGAATATGGTGTGAGGTTAGTCTGTAAGTACTGGTAGATGACCACATTGAGCAGAAAAGGGTATTCCTCCTGCTTTACAGAACTATACACCTCAGGGGTAAAGTGCACTATCTCGCTTCATATAACTAGTAGTACGTACCCAGTGCGAGTGATTTGGCTGCGAGTGCGTTACCCGAGGAAACGTTAATTATTAGCAGTTATCTACGCTTTTTAACTTCCTCTGCCAGACATTTTGATTTCCACTGCCATCTTCCCATTTTAAAGTACTTTTGGTAAATATAACTCGCTTACCTGCAAAGATTCGGTGAGCAATTCCTCTTCTCCTTCACGTCCACGCTCACCTTCGAAACGACATGCTGTCTGCATTGTTTACATCTCGTATCTGAGTCGAGAAGCCGCGTTATTTCAAACTGTGTCAAGATGGCTGACGCCCGGGGTTCGAAAGTGGACGGTGAATATGATTCTTTTTTTCGATATTGATTAAGGCCATTTACCTGCCATTTTATGCTTTACCCATAGCAATTGTTCTCAGATAAGTTTAAAAAGAAGCAATCCATGCACTAAAAAGGCGTTTTTAATCCTATTTTTTGTCCCTTTAACACTTCATTTACCTGTCCTCTTTCCAGCTGCAGTCCAGTCAATGCCAGTCCATTAATGATGACCAACAGTAGGAAGGTGCTCCTGGAAGTCCTTGCCCACTCTCTGGTGGAGGTGAAGCTGAGGGCATACTCTGTATGTCTGGCACTGGTCAAGGTACAGAAAGGAAGAATATTTGGTGCTAGCTTTATCTGTCTGTATTATTTTTCTGCACAGAACAAAACTCTACCCTGCTCTGCAGTGTCAATCAATTGTCAGTCCTACGTCCTTATTTGATTTTGGGACTGCAAAAAATGTACTCACTATGATATGCTGTTTTGACTTTTGTAAGGATAAAGGAGTGATAGAGCTGGTGCACCTAGGTATATTCTGGCGATTATATTTATGCTGATTTTATGCTATGGACTTTATTTTACACTTATATTTTAGGATACTCTTCATATTGATGGCCCCTGCAAGCCGTCCAGTTGTCAGAAAATCCTGTTCTTGTTGGACAGACATGTTCTGTATGAAATCTGCTGCTTTGGGATGGATGATGCTAATGAAAGGGTGGGTTGTTGAAGGCAGGACATAAGGAGGCCATCTTACATTTAGCTGACATTTTGTTATTATTAGGATTATAACTGCAGTTTGCATTTATAGTAGTCATAACTACACTTTGTTAAATTATTTATCATATTTACAACTATAATTTGATTTTTTATTGACTACAGTCTGTTTAAACATCAACTGAGATACATTGCACTTTAGGGTTTGTTCCTCTTGCTATTAACTTCAGAAGTTGCAATATGTATTGGCATTATATATGTAATAGATCAGCACCAGGTTGAAAGTGCCTAGCTGATAACTGCTTGTATTTGTTTGATTAATTTATGGGATTCAACTGCCAATATCAAGTGTTCATATTTCCAGGTCTTGGGTGTGGCACAGCAGGTAGTCTTGTACCTCCTTCAGAGTCAGCTGCTAATGCCTGATCATATATGGAGCAGACTGATGCAGATTGTGGCTGCTATAATGCCAATATTACAGGTAATAACACACATGGAACTATCAGTTTAGTATTAACATCACAGGACAAGTGTGAACCTGAGATGAACATGTGTAGCTTGTACACGCTGAGTTGAACCCTGTCATTTCAGCAGTTGTCATACACTTGCTATCTTCTCCAGACAACTCTTCCCTACAATTGGGTTACAATTCAGTTTCAATACTAAGGGTACCATAGCCATTTCAGTTCCACAGCTAACACCTCAATGTTAATATGCTTTATTCTACTGGATATTTGGGTTTGGATTTTAAAAATGAGTTATCTGTTTCCACACAGGGTTATGCTGGTTTGCAGAGCCCCCTAGGGAGCAGTATTCGTAGCCTGTGTGAGGTCACTCCGTCTCCAGTGAAGGGAACGTTGCCCAAACTAGAGAGGTTCAGGGGTGTTCTCAGAATGATGTTTTCCAAAGATGTCAGGTAAGCAGAAACTCTGATGCAAAAAAATGTATTTCTAGACATGTTATTGGAACATTATCTCAAATACAATGTCATGTTATTATGATACTGTTCCCATACAATTGTGTAAAGCCCAGTTTTTTCCCAGAGTATTGGTGACAGTAATTACAGGTGCACTGAAGTATTTTGTTAAACAGCCTGACATTTGGACCAGCTGTAAGGAATAAATAATTTTTACTGAAGGACCTCTTGATGTCATAGGCACTGTAAATTCAAAGTGCCAGGTCTAATAATTGTACCAGTCCCCAATTTCTTCTGGCCCTACGAAAAAAAATTGAGTCAATACAAGTAGCACTCCTGCTTGTTTTTACTGTGATATGAATGATTTTTTTTAATCATTTATGGCTATGGATGGTGCAAGCTTTTTGAGGCATTTTGTCTCTTTGCTCTCCAGGACCAGAGCAGAGGCGCTGTCCAAGCTGGCCTGGTTTCTCTCAGATGAGGAGGACAGCGAGAAGAAGCTCCCAGTCTTCACAGAACTAGATGTGGCTGGGCTGTCAGACCTGTATGTCATCAGGGAGCCTAGATACCTAGAAGATTCTGATGAGGCTGGGCGCTCTGTTTTCCAGGTAAATGGGATATTTTATTGCTGTGCTGTTTACACTTAATGACCATATCTGTTACTAACAGTAGTAATATTATATGTTTAAGTCTCTCTGGTCTGTATTTTTTGAGTTAACAGTACAAGTTTGTGATATTGATAATATTTTGAGATTCTACAAGTTCATGGACCAACTGGTGGTGATACCACTGAAGCGATACTTCTTTCACAGAAATGAGGCACTGCTCATACTGTTGTGACTCATTCTTATTGAATCTGATATAATTATGATGATTTATCATGATACAGTTTTATATATAAAATATGCTCAAGGAATTTATTTCAATAACAAACTCTAAAATAGACACATTTTACTTGCTTGTTTAAGATATAAATACAATAATTTTATAATTAAAACCATGGGTTAGAACAAAACTAGAAAACGTTGATGGGATAAAACTCTTTAAAAATCCCTTGTGATTACAGGTGGACAGCATGATGAAAGTTGTCAATATTCTCAGATCTCCATCAGTGGATATTGGAGTGAAAAAGTCTGCACTAGACCAGCTAGCTATTATGTTACAAGGTAAATATACCCATAAGGTCTATTTTGATTTTATTATCATTACAGTTACATTTGGAAATTGATATCATGACCTGTTTTCACTGAAGACAAGTCTTTATAGTAGCAGTACTAATACGTATTGTTTTGAGAGGTGTTTTAAGGTCCTGTAAAAATGATCGTTTGTGTAAATATCAGTATATATTTATTTTTTTATCTAATATTTTTTTATATATTTAATGAAGAGGCACCAATAACTGTGTGTGGTATCTATCACTTTCTATCTGGAGGTTTTGTACCTGTTTCTTCCTCATTACAGATACCAGTCTACACAAAGTGTTCAGGGAAGAGGGAGGGCTGGAGATGGTGCTGGACAGTATGAAGACGGCTGTGCTCAAAGAAAACAGTACAGCTCAGGTATGTCATGTGCAATTTGTTTTCAGACAGAGCTCAGATTGAAGGCGAAATAAAAAATTGGTAGTTGTGGTGTATGTTAATGTGGGCGTGTCTTTATTGTGAAAAATGTGAGGAGGGGGGAAGGATGATGCCCTGATTCTCTTAATTTTTATTTTGTTTTAAGTGCATTACAGCTTATGATTATTCTGGGGTACCTTGGATTTCATTCTCACAGTCACAGATGGTCTTGATTTAACACTGAGTTTTAAAAAAAATTATCATGATTATTATTTAACTTTGTGTTCTTTTTTGTCTTTCTCTCTCTCACTATCAGTTTTCTGAGACCATCTTTCTGCCAGCCTGTGTGACCTTGTTACGACACCTGGTCCATTCCGACTACCATCTCCGTCACCAGTTGGCGCATGAATCACAAACCTATTACATGATAGTCAGAGGTAAAATGGTGGTATTTTTTTTCTCATGTGTCATGTTTTGTCTGTATTTTGAATTGTATCAAATAAATCGACATGTTACACATTTGTTGTGATACTTTTTATCTTTTGTTATGTTTTCGACATGTATTTTATTTTTAAAATTACTGGATATCCTAAAAATCTCATTAAATGCCATGTATTTTAGCATCTATCCTCCACAACAAGAATGAGCAAGTACATTATGATGTTTCACACCTCTTGCTGTTGTTGTTATTTGATGAAGTGGCCAGCATAGATGTCTGGTAAGTTGCCACTGCTTTATTACTTTCACTGACACCTTTATGGGTAATGCTGGTGCTTATTCTGAAATTGTACTTTGAACCTGTGGTTTGTGTAAAACATGTTATTTCTTCCCCTTTTTGTCATTCCCAATTTGTGTATAAAAGGGGTTATTTGCTTGTCAGCTTTCAAGCAAGTTTTTAAATAAATTTTATATTGCAACAAATAGGAAGCAACTCTCATAAAAAGCCTTTGTTTGTATTTAATAAAATTTATTAGGTACTAATTAATTTATTCATTTATACATTCGCCAATGATCGTTTTGTGAAAAATTTTTTTTGAATTCTCATTTAGGTCAGTTGCTGTGGACTCTTCCCCCAAGAAGTCAGTTCAGTGTTTCAGTCTCCCAGCCTTCATGGCACACAGGTACCACCTCCCTTTCAAACCCATTACCCACCATGTGATCAGCCAGCACAGGATTGACCTAGTTTCCAGCACAGACCCCCTGCAAACAGGACCCCCTGCAGAGATGCTAAAAATAGCCTGGAATGTGGCCTGGCATGGAGATATGGAAAGTTTGATGGTAGATTTGAGGAAGAAAAAGGAAGAGGAAAAGGAGACTGAGTAAGTGAGGGGTGATATTTTGAAGATCATTTTGAAGATTGAAACAGAAGTATGAAATTAGTCACAAAGTGCCTTACACTGTGTAGGCAGAGACTAACTTGTGAAGAAAAGATTTAGCAAAAACATTTGTCTGCTAATTTTCTGCTTTATTACGTCTTCAGCATTGCCCAATTAGAAAGGGTAATGCATGATATAAAATGCTACAAAGAAATGCTAATGGATTAAAAAAAATCATTCTAGGTTTTCTGCCAAGTTACATTTAACACCAGCAGACAGAGCCATACTGGTGACCACCCACCTGATCTCTGCCATCCAGCAGTGCCTGTACAGCATGTGTAATGCCACATCCCACACTGAAGTCAGCCAGGCCCTGGGGAGACTGAAGACCTACATGACAGTGTACAGAGTGCATGGACTGGGTGCAGAGATACTGTACAGGTTAAAATGGAGAGAGGCCATTGGAAGGTAGAAATAATGTGATTTATCTGAAAGTGATGTTATGATAGTTTTAATGTTTATTTTACCTATTGCTGTTCCATGCTGGTTGGAAAGTGTATTAATTGGTCATAATTTTTGTTTGGAAGGTGAAAAAGGTTGCAACAAAAACAGTTTTTTTTATCATTGTGCCACTTTGGACATAAGAATGTGGCGTAAAGGTTTCATTTAGTGGGATGAGCTTGATAGGGTGTTTAAATAACACGATTTTATTGTTTATTTTCAGATTCCTTCAGGTCATTCCAGCGTCATCTTTGGATGAGTCACTCTTGATGGAAATTCTCTCTTTTTTAAATCTGATGTTGGAAGCAGGCCCAGTGCCTCGGGCAGAGCAAGTGTGGCTTGGAGATCTCTTGGTTAAAAAGAAGGGGGCGCTGCCAAACATGATAAGCTTACAGGATGGCAGACAACAAGACGGGGAGGGGGACCATGTGGATGATATTACTAGGTATGTTGACTGTGAAAGGATAGATTAATATAAATTGATTTTTTTTTGTAATATTCCCATTTGTCTTTATTTTTATTTTAATTTTATCTATTTATTTATTTTTTAAATTTTTGAAGAAAAGAGAGATTTACTGCAGTCTTACATATTTTGAGTCTAGTGCACATTTTGCATAATTCTGTAAAATGTAAACTACAGTAACTTCAAATTATGAAGGAATTTATCAATTATTGTCAGGTTGCTAAGGAAAGAAGTGCTATGCTTTGTACGAAGATTTGTTAATAGGCTGCCTCAGATGATAGCTAAGACGTAAGTCATATTGGGTTGATATCCAATGACTAAAAATGTGTGTTTACCTTGTAATGGATGGGATAGTGTTCAACAGAAAATTCTTGAAGGGAGAAGAAACAATAATATGAACTTTGTTTAATTGTATAGAAATATACATGAAGAATTCTGTTTCATATTAGAATTAGCTGTCCATTTATATAAAATTTTGAAGTAAACCCTTCATAATAAGGGTTTTGAAAAATTATTTCATTTTCAGATCCTTGAAAACTTGGCTCAGAGGAGATATTGTACGTAGTCTTCTTCTGAGGTTAAACTTGGCAGATGCGCCACAGTTTTACAATCTCCCTTCCCTAGAGAGCACACTGCCATGCTTGACCAATGTGACAGCAAGGTAAACTAGACTGATGATTGCACTTTGTCATTAACTCCAAAATATCTTTTCATTAACTAAAGGGTTATCATACATTTTTTTAATGTGGACTTAAATTGCTGATGTAAAACTGAGTTATTTTACTTCCTCAGAAATTGATCCTAATTGTTTTGTAATTTCTGCCAGTTGCAAGAAAAAAAATGCTTTTTCAGCCATTCAAATTGAAATTTATCTCATTAAGTTTTTAGTAAATTTTCACATTTTCTTTTGATAAAACAGACCAGGTTGGAGTTCTGGATGTAAAGACACAGATAGCAGCACTCTCTGCCTGCAGCTACTGAACTGTTTACTGGAGGTAATTATGATGACATCACTGTTACTATTAGCCAGGCAAATGAAAAGAAATACAGTATTTGTTAGATAGATAAAGATGATTTACTTAGACTAGGGAAATGATACAATTGTGAATGTATGACAAAGATTTCCCCATTAGTTTTACCATTTCATGTTGGCAGTAAGCCTGTGAAATCCAAAGGAAATGTGAAAATAGATGTAATGTTACAGCGACTGTTAATGTTCAAGATGATGATTTGATGCTCACTGTCAAGAAATCACTGTCAATTTATTAATGCTGTAACATTTACCCCGCAGGTACTCTCAGCCTTTCACATAGGGCGTGGAGGGATGTCGATGTCGTACATGGGGCGTGGGGTGACCAGGAATGCCACACTGTGTCTGCGCCACCTGGCATATGAAATGTCTGACCAAAGCACAGAGGAGGTCTGTAACAGCCAAAATGGAAACTTTATGGATATGTGGATGAATTCAGTTGTCTGCATAATTTTTCACCTTATAATTGTGAATAACTATTTAGTACTTTAAACTAGGAATTTAACCTCTAATATTAGTTGAAACTTTAAACATTGCTTTATTTGGTTTTTCTTATTTTTCTAGGTTCAAAGGATCTGACTAATACAGATTTTTTATTTATGCATCATTATTTTATTTCATTGTTAATATGGAACAAAATATTTTATATTTTAAGGGAAATAAAAAGGTGTTCTGTTCTCTTTCTATGAATTGTCTCCATGAATTGTCTTCACTGTTGGAATATTTTTCCAGGACTGGCCCAAGTGCTGGCTGTTCACCAAGCAGCTCCCAGAACACCCCAGCACAGACCCTGCCTACAACTGGCTGATACCACTGTGGACATACAGAGACCCAGAGGTGAGATAGTCACATTGTATTGGTATACTTAACTTTACTGCCTACAACTGGCTGATACCACTGTGGACGTACAGAGACCCAGAGGTGAGTCACATTGTATTGGTATACTTACAAACACTGCCTACAACTGGCTGATACCACTGTGGACATACAGAGACCCAGAGGTGAGATAGTCACATTGCAGTGGTATACTTAACTACACTGCCTACAGCTGGCTGATACACCTGATGAGGTAGTCACATTGTTTTGGTATGCTTAACTGCGCTGCCTATCTACACCTGGCTGATACTGCTGTGGATGTACGGTGACCCATCTTTTGGGGGTTATGTCCGATCAGCAAGTTGATTTTTGGCAGTCTTAAGTCAATCAGTTTCAGTTTTCATGTTAACTTCATCAGTGTCATGGTTTCCTTCAGGTCCGTGCTGCAGGTCTTGGCATAGCTGTAGCCTTGACAAGCACAGAGGCGGGCCGTATCACCATGACAACACATTGCCAACAGCTGATTGGTGGAGTTTGGGGAGCAGCTTTTTCTGTTCTCCTGGACCATTATGAGTGTAGCATGGTGAGACAACAGGTACGGCATCTGTTATGTTATGTTTTCAAGTTGACTGTGGTTGAGATTTCAAGTACAGCTCACATGTAACATCTTGGCAGGTCTGTAAAACTCTGTTTAAAGCAGCTTATGCCAGGCCCTGTAGAATATCAACATCTCACTGTGATGTACCTCTTCCAGGCTGCCTTATTGCTGGTCAACCTCACCTCTGATACTATGCCAAGTGGCAGTGTGGAACTAGGAGCTAATATATGGCAAGGACCTGTCATAACTAGCCCACAGAATCAGGTAATAAATAAGTAATTTGTAAAAAGTTTTTAAAAAAAGGGAGATTTATTAGTGCTAGACTAACTGTTTCATCCAACATCTTTCATGTCAAACTGTTCATTTGCACAAATTGATGTGGGGGTTCTGATTTTTTATACAACATATTCTCCAATTAAAAAAACTTATTGAAAAATGCATATGTATGTACAACAAAACTGAACACAAAAGCTGATTCCATTTTTAGCTTAAACTTGTCTATAGTGAGCAGTGCTACTGGTGTAGCTCAGCCCAGATATTGCTTATAAAACTGTTTTTCCTCTTTCCCTCCAGGTGGCGCTGGTGGGGACCTCAGCCCTGATGGCTCTCCTCCACCACAGTCACTTCTACCAGGAGATGGTGGTCCTACTGTCCAGTTACTACCCCTATATCACCGTCCACCCCATCAAAGTGGCCTCCAACTCACCTGGGCAGGTATCCACAGCCTCTCAGTCCACTCTCACTACTTCAGGTAGGTGTGAGAGAAGGGATGGGGAAGGAGGAGGGGGGGGGGAGTAACTTTCCAAATTCCAGCGGCCATCCCTAGTTCAAGGAAAATTATCTGGCAGTGATTTGAAATAGTGCATAAAGATGTAGATGTTTATACGATATAGGCATTTTCTGTCTACCATATTTGCTGTAATTCATCTAAAGAGAAGAAAATATTGATTTTCAATATATTTCATTGTAAAGTTATAATTTTGTGTCATCTTGAATTTAATATTCCAGAGTCTGGGACACCTGTCCCTGGAGTGGCCACTCAATTTGGGCGCCCTGCGGCCCACGCCGTGGTAGTAGAACAAGCATACAGTAGCCCATCACAGCACAGCTCACACCATGACTCTCCTGTGACTGGCTCTAGTGGACAACCTGGTAAGAATTAACATTGCTCTCACAGGGTACATGGTCTTTCTTAAAAATGAGTGTTACTTGATTATCAGGGTACAGGCTTCGCTAAGGTAAAAAGGTAATTTAAAGTTCTTAGCTCATATTTAGAATGCAGTAGTTTTACCACAACCAGTTATTAGCTGTTTTTGGTTTTATATTTAATAAAATGGTTTTTATTTTAATATTGCAGCTTTAAGTAATATCCGTGTATTTTATATATTTATTGGTTAAATGAATCTTCATTTTATCTTATTATCTTATTGGGATTCACAGAATAGACTTCTCAAAGAAACACAATGTAGCCATGACTGACTTGATTATTGTAAAACTTAAACATAAGGTGTACTACATATTCAGATTGTATGAGTACAGAAATAATAAACATATGCATGTACATGAATAAGAAGGCACACAGGCATGCACACACACACATCTTTGACATTATTATGACTGACTTTATTATTATAATATTTAGCAATAAGATATACTATGTATTGAACATGTATTGGCCCAGAAACAATAAACAGACACTTGCAGAGAGACTAATCCATGCTATTTCTTTGTCATCAGCAGACAGCAGCAGTCCGTCCACCTACCTGTCCAGGGGCAGTGCTGGGGACTACCAGAGTATAGCCACCCCCTCTCTGGTCTCAGCGGTCAGTCAGCTGCTGACCAACTTGGTGGTCCTAATGCCCCAGGACACCCTGGACTGCTTGAAGAAGGAGGGACTGCTCAGGGCATTGGTCAGGTATTGGTTAGAAGTTAATAAACTAGTTTATAAACTGGTTACTAGTAGAGCCATTAATGAGTCAGATAGATCTATAGTAGAATGAAAAAATCAATCAATCAACAGACAGATGAGTTTGTTATTTACTGTAAATAAAAAATGGAAAATGTAGGTTTGTTAATTATATAATAGACAAATAGATGAGCAAACTGATGGAAAAAATAAATAGATAAATAGTTAAAGTGATGTCCACCTTATCATTTCAGTTTGACAGACCCTGACTTACTAGCAGTGTACACCAGAGACATGCAGCAGTCCAAAACTCCCTCCTCCTCCTCCTCCTCCTCAGGGTCCAGTGAAGATGAGGGTATGCTGCGACAGCTGGTCATCCTGGCTGGTTTGGTGGAGATGTACACCAGTATCCTACAGCTGGTCACTCACTGCTGTGAACTGGACGCTGAGGTCAGGGAGGAGATACTGCAGGAGGCAGTCATACTGGACGGTACTCTTAGGCTGCTGGGGTATAATATTACAGGTACTGTGTGTGTGNGAATGGCTGTGTAGTGTTTTCAATTGATCTTTGGGCTTAAAAATTTTTTGTTAACCCTTCCATTCACATATGCTCTTACATGTGGACACACACGCATGCACACACATACACACGTCCAGAGACAAAAAGTTTAAAGGATAAAAGTGTCATTTCATTAACATTCAGTATCTACATGTAATCTTTATTTGTCTAAGAGTTGATAGAGGCATGTTGTTTCTTTTATTCAATAATATGTGAAATGGTACAGAGTATGACGCAGAATACCATGTTTCCATTCCAGACTCTCTGGCCTTATTACTGGAGTTCTGTGAGTCTGAGCACAGCCAGGCAGCCTCCAGTGCTCTGATGGTTCTAAGAAACATGTGCCATCACTCTGCCAATAAACCCAAGATTCTGGGAAATGGTGAGTGGGCAATGAGTTTTTATGGTAGGGGTAGGTTACTCTTTAAAAAATGATAATAACTTATATTTGGTTTATGTGACTTTTCTAGGTTGATGTTTATGAAATCCATAACATGTTCCGCAATAACTTTTAATGTAAGTTGAGAAATACCTCTGGCAAAAATCATTAGAAGTGAAAACTGGGTATTTTGATTAATTTAGAAATGCTTAGTAACATTGAGTCAGTAATGTGAACAAAGACACTTATGTTTATGTTAAACACAGTGTACCATTGTATCATTGGAGCACAGAGTGCAGAATTCAGTTGATATAAGATTGTTACATTGCATTTTATATATATATCCAGAGAAAGTGGTGCCTTGCTTGTTGAAGTACTTGGAAACCAACCTTGATGTCGGGGATGCCACTGTTGCTATGTCTGCACTCTGGGCTCTGGTCTATAATAATCAAAAGGTAAATAAAAAGACTAAATATGGAGGTCCATATCTGAAATTAAGACAAAGGGAACCTACCAACATTATTATATTTCTTAAAATGGATAGATTTTTTGTCATTATTACAGATGTTTAATACCCGATTCGAGGGGAAATTCAATATTTAGTCCAAGTTGTTTTGGTGGTCTGAAGTGAATTGCATTGTAGAAATTAAAAGACATTTAAATTTGGATTAAAAATATTCAAACATTAGAACTTTCACATTTTAAAATTTAAATTTAAACGTATGTGTGCATGGTTATTTAAAGTGATGAAAAAGGGGACATCACTTGAATGCTTGACACACACACACAAACACGTATATTTTATCTTTGAATCTTTCTTTGAAGGCCAAAGCCACACTAAAGAACAGCAATATGTTAAGAAAGCTGCAGAAGGCCTACAGCACAGTTGAGACCAAAGGCTGTGGAAGTCCATGGAGAGAACAACAGCAGGGCTACATGGAAGCCATTCTCTCCACCATTGAAGAGTAATGCTGGATGCCAGGTTTAGACATCAGATGTACATAGTACATGTAGTTGGTATTAATTTAAGATATCTTTAATTTTGGTGTGCTTCCGACTGAGATAAAAATGTACAGGTCCACTTGTAAGGAAACTACTGGCCTAAAAATTTGTCCATGTTACCCTGTTTCTGCAAGCACTTGCCTTGCTAGTATATGTATAACGTGTGACCAACTATAATAATGTAGTCCAGTAATGGACTTTAAAAACTTTATTTTGTGTCAAATAGTTGGCCAAATATTACCCTTATGAAATTTAGAAGTCAAATTGTTTTTATATTTTCTTAAAAATATTTTCTTTGTTGATGTTTATATATTAGTTGTCCTTAAAACACACATGATGTGTTGTTATCATTTAGCGATCATTTGTTTTTCACATAAGGTCAGATATCCTAACCCAGCACTGTCTTGCGTGCCTGGTGTACTGCAAAGGTTAATATTACATGGCTATCTTGGCCATCTCTCTCTTCTTGAGGACAATCACCTATTATTTGTATCTGCTGGCTAGGTATTTTCACACGATACTTTCACTGTGTGGTTTTTGATTATAATCATGGGGCTTTGAGTCACTTCAATAAAAGGGGTGGAAGTTATAGAAGTTATGCCCAGATTAATAGAAAGACCATTAGTAAGGTCTTTAATTGTACCTTAAATTTGTGCTAGCATTATTTAAAAAAAAATCTTATAAAAATTGATCTGAATACAAAGTACTTTATTATCTGCTGCCTGACTAACTTTGTAAAGCTTTTGTTGAATCTCTTAGTGTTGTAAGTATTTGGACTATAGATTTACATTTAGTGTCACATGGATGTTATAAGAACTACTGAGTCCCAATATCCATGCATCGGATGCCACACCTGGAAGTAGTACAATTTGAAATTTCATTAAATTATTATTGATAAGCATTTTATTTATTAAAAATCTTTCAGGAATATCTTATCCATCCAATATATAGTAACAGTTATAAATAACAAGATGGGTTCTTGTGAATTTTTTTAAATGTTAGTTTATTGAACAATTGAAGTATTTAATTTCCTTTTTGAGTTATTATGTACATGTTGTTAAGAATGTAAATATTATGATATATAATTTTACATTGTATGTTACTGGTTTAATAATATGCATGCACTAACAAAATACGATAATGACTCATTATTTCAGTAGAGAATTTTACTTTAATCCTGTATCTGCAAAATTCACAATGTTCCCCAGAAAAGAAAAGCAAGTCATTACCATAAACTGCATGAAAGTGAAACTTTAATTCCTGAAACAAAAATAGTCAACTTTTAGTTGTTTGCCTGCTTCTCTCTTCATGTATATATTTATTTTTTACAATGTATATACTGTATATATGTAATTACAAGTATTTAATGTCTTTCATTTTTACAACAAAAATAATATATTCTTTGGTATATACAATTACCAGTCATCTGTCTTCATGTTTTATGAACAGTATGCCTTTTATACTAAAATGAGGTACTTTGGATACATAAATTATTTCCCAAATTTTTAAAGCAGCTCATTTCAGTGTTATCTTTCAAATTTTACTGCATTCTAGTCTAAAATATGGTGACACCAAAACATGTAAATAGCTCTCAGGGTATTTGAAGAAAAGGAGTAGAGTGAAGAAATAACTAACGGCCCGTAAAACCAAGCCCATCTGCAATGACGCCATCTTAGGCAACCTTGGAGGATGCATATAAATACCTAATCTAAAATTAAAGCTCTGCTTCCTTAGCCTCCATAAAGCATGTATGATTATGTACAAGTTGCCTGTTTATTTCTTTGGAATTTGATGTGTATAACTGGTGATTAAAGCTTTAACAGGCTGGATAACTAGCATTTCAGGTTTCTTATCACCTGTAAACATTAAGATATCTTTACCGGTGTTATCAGTACTGCAACTACTATAACGACTTTGGTAATTTGGATGTGCTTTTCTCTGTAATTTTTTTTCTGTCCCTTGAGATGCTCTTGTAAAACTTAACCAAGAAAGGACAATGAAGTGCTTTGTCTGTCCTTTTGAATAATTGTTAAAACTTAAAGCTCGCGGGTACTGACTGACACTAACATTTAAAATAAAGACATCCTTCCATTTGCGGTATAGACAGTATCAGGATGCTTTTTCCGTGCCACTCCTGGAATATTTTGCAGTGCAGGAACCCTAGGACATCTTCAATAATGGCACTGCCCTTGACCTAGACGTATTTGTCCTTGACATTGAAAACGTTGGTGCCATTTATGTCGTCTGGGCATCCATCAACGGCGTTTGTCAAAACGCTGTGTTTAAAGTAATCGTCCTGCAGAGGACAAAGAACCTTGTTGCGTCACTCGTCTTCGTCCTCAATAACCTCCTCCATGTCGTCTGGGTCGACGCTGTTTCTTTGGGCTTGGAATTTGCGGTAGTCCTCAAGACTGTCAAGGGTTTTCAGTGATCCGTCTCCCTGCATCAGGGCCCGGCGCCAACGTTTGCGACGGTTTTGGAACCATACTTTAACCTAAAAATGACAATAACATAGTTGATTTATTGGCTGATGAAGGTTTTGAGGGTTTTATTTAGAACCCAATTTGAATGTTGAAAGAAGTTGAAAATCGTGTAGGTTTTTTACAACATACTAGTAGTTAGCCATTCTCTTTTCTAGAGGCCTGTTGAGTGGTGACATAAATTCTATGCAAAAAGTTTCACAGTAAAGAAAAGTACAAAGCATTAGATCTAGCTAGCGAAAAAATCAATCTTTGGCTCTGGTTGACGGTAATAAAGCCAGATTATATTGGAAACATCGGGCTTAATAAATTAACATTGAGAAGGCGAAGGTATCACACACGGAGAAAAATGAATAATAATATCATCTTATTTAATCTCAATTAACGTACATTTTCATCGGTGAGTCCCAGAACAAACGCCAGTCGCCGTCTCTCAAAAACATCCACGAATTTCTGAGCTTGGAACTGTGACTCCAGGTAGCGCTTCTGCTCCGGCGTATACACGGTGCGCTTCCAGAGCCTCTTGCTCCTCAGTGGCGCCGCCTGCAGTTGACTGTAGTAATCCATCATGGACGCCGTCACTGAGGGTGGGAGGGCCGTTTGCTTTGTAATGTCTGAAACTGGAATTTGAATAGATCATGGTAAATTTAGCTGTGAGAAAAAAAGATTGTAGAATATCGTCTTTCTTTTCTTTTTATCGTCAAATAGCGTATTTTTAAACGTATATCATGACAAGTTTAAACAAAGCTATATTTCATAAGTTTTGAGATTTTTTCCAGATTTTGTTTGTCTAAATAACGTATCGCTGATTTGTCTGTTTTATCTTAAATGCCTCTTTATCAATTATTTGGTGAACAACATTATTTTGTCTGAGTGCCCAGAATTTTCTTTATTCAAAAATATCAATAGATATATATAAAAAAAAACGGTTGAATAAATTTAAAGAGCAGGAAATTAAAACGGCCATTTCAGGTCGTTCCGCAATTAACCGAATTAACGAAAACCCCAAGCGCTGTCTCTCAAAATGAGGACAAAATTATAAGATATTATAATCGCATTTCAAGCCTGTGCGATTATAATATCTTGGTAAACAACCACTACGTTAGATGCCCGGGGAACTTACAGACCGGGATAAATAAAATAGATACAATCAGCTTGTATATGGTGCCTCTGTAATTGAAATGTTTTCATCTCGATAACGCCGTCGACAACCCTCTTGGACTAGCAGTACACATTATAACCGGTTCGCTGACCGGTTAATGATATGATTGATGGGCAGAGAAGGCTGACCACCGTCAAAATGACTGTTAATGGTCAAATCTTAAACAGGTGAAACTAACAAAAACGGAGACGTATCTTAAATATCTGGACCAGATCTAGCGACCAGTGTTTAGAGCTGTAAGCGCAGTTACTCTTGACTCGGGTTTAGTAACGCCAAAAGCCCTTTCACGGATTTCCAACGACCTTCCTCAAACTTTTCACCAATTTTTAAAATTCTATAAATTTTATTTATTTATTTTTGAAAAAAAAGGCGGTCCCTTTTATAAATGCAATGATGTTTTTCTGCACGTTTTCAGGCGCTTGGTTTTGGCCCCAGGACAGTGGTTTAAAGGGTTTGCGACAGACCGCCAGATTGGCTTGAATGGAGCATGTGTTTTCTTGGGGTTTAGGTTGCCTAACATTGTCTGGTTATTTTCCACTGTACTGGACCTAACGTCACTAAGATCGATATGTCTAATACTAGTGTGAATGTGGCCACTGGTATCATGCGTTTGCGTGACAACAGACAACAGTCCGTTCCTCGTGTACCCAAAATGTGTGACAACAGATAAAACGGGGCGTTAACCGTTGTTAGTGGGTCTATTATATTGCGCTTAGCTTAATTCGTTAACCTTTGTCAGAGAGAGAGAGATGGGGAAAGGGGACTACATCATCAATGTGACAGCCTGTCTGCCTCATTGGCTAACCATTAGCTACAACTTTTTTTTTCATGAGTCAGTATTTATAAACGCTCAAATGATCGTTTTCTTGTCTTCCATTGCTCTTGATTTAGTTTGGTGAGAGCCTATTGCTCAAGGCTAATTATTTTTAAAGGCATACTTAATTTTTCTTCATTGCAAAATATTTATATACTTTGTACTCCATGTCATCAAAATTGCAAAAGGTGCAACATAATTATAAGACATGCAATGGGTAAAAAAGTAGACTAAAATTAATTATAATCTGTATAAATTTTCGATTAAATTTGACTTTTTCTCGTCTCTTCATGGTAATCTTGTTGTTTTTCTTATCTCAGTAAATGAGATCCGTGTTTTGTTATGATATGATGGGAACGCAATGTATATATTTAATATCGTTGGTTTAATTAAGTTCCTAGTAGACGGGAGACTGGTATTAACCAATTCTTATATTTAGTAACCAAATATTAACACATCAGGATTAGATAACAACGATAACCTGTTGGTTGCGTATTTATAGTCATATTCAGAAACCAAACAGTGAAGGCCTTTAAGCTTAAAATTATTAATATATTGTGATGGAATAATTTTGGCGCCTGTCTCGAATTTCTCAAACAAGTACCGTTCCGGTTCCTTTACACTGTCAAGATGATTTTTTTTTGACGCAAATTTTGGACGCCAAATTTATTGCATCTAAAACCCAGGACAAGGACACCCATATATTATGTGATTATGATCTTGCTCACGGACTGTTGCATATTTTCCGTTGTTTATTGTTTGCTAAACAATTTAATTTTTTTCAGTTTCATTTACTTTTTTTAATTATTTGCATCCTAATACTTGCAGTGGAACTAATGTAATCTTTGACTTGTTTGAGGTGGTCTCTCTGTTGACTCCTAACATGACCAAATGGAATGCGTGGTGGAATCCAAGACAAAAAAAAAAATAATAATAATAAAAAAAAAAAATAAATAAATAAAAAATAAAAATCTACGCTTAAATAGCGAGGCAGGCGTAACCTTATTCTTTTGATCAACTACAGTTGTTAATCCTCTGTTCAAGATGATACAATCACAAAAATGTGAATTGTATCTTACTTATGTGATATCTATACGTATCAACGGTTTAGTCATGAAAAAACTAAAAGTATATCATAGTCAGTATTTATCGTACGCGTGGGGGCTAAAATCAAGAGTCAGTTGTAGACAAAGTGAAGTAAAAATGGACTTACATGAGACAACAGAGAAAATATACAACAATATTACTAAGCATGACTAGCAGAAATCACCCAAACCGACCACTGTCTTCACTTAAAGTGGCAGGTCATTTGTTATTCCCTGGTTAGCATCTCCGGGCGAGGTTTCCCCTTGAGGAGAACCGCGTCTGGCTGGTTATCATGGCAAAGTAGTTTAAGCATGAGACACCGGGGCTTGTTATTGTTTTTTTATACCTATTATCATTTTTTGAGGGAGTTGTAACCGACAACTGTTCAAATCAGGGCGTATTTGCTAAGACTACGCGAATCTTTTTTGCCACGACATCTTATGGCCTGACTACAACGTTAAATTTGTGCTCTTTTTTCAATTAAGTGACAACCAGTCTTTAATTATAAAAAGAAATCCCTCAACTAAAAAAAAATTAATAAATAAACACGTTTTCGTTAAAAACATTATCCATGTACTTTATAAGTGCAGTAAATATCCATATGGTATTATTAAATGGTGTCAAAAAAAAAAAAAAAAAAAATTCTATAGTTGAGCGAAAATACAGAATTTCAATATACAGCATTAGTGCCTGCTACAAACATACACCACATATTAAAGCTGTCCGAATACAGCTGTTGTATTTATTTATTTATTTATTTATTTATTTATTTATTTATTTATCAACATTTCGAGAGCACTAACCATATGTGCAGCAGTTTCCCTTGACATGGACAGAAGTGTATTCAGTCTTTAAAATGTGTGCGTACCAAAGCAGAAAGCCTTGAACCAGACCAGCTCCCCAGTTGGAGGGGAGGGGGTGTTATTAACGTCGCGATAAAGAAGTCTATTCTCAGAGAGTATATTGTTTTTGTCATAGAAGTTGTTTAAAAGAATTCATAAGTGGTGTAACAGATGAATTAATTTGAAAATAAATAAATAAATAAATAAATAAATAAATAAATAAATAAATAAATAAACCTTCAAAGGCTTTTGTGAAATAGAACGAGGGAGGGTTAAATATTATTTGAAAGGAAGAATGGAGAGATAGGCTTAACTTCATTATCAATAGCGCCATTCAAGTTTTCAAACTAGTTTATAAGTAAAACGAGTCATATTTGCGGTTTTATCTGACCAATACTGGTCTTACTGAAGCAGTATCGTCGATGTAAAAAGAAATGTCTTACACCTCTGCACTATCCCACTGCTAGTTTAAACACATTAAACCCGTGTGATACCGCAGTTTGGGTGTGGGGTGAAACGCAAAAGTCTTCCACGATTAAAAATAGAAAACTATCGGAAGCGTATCTGGTATCCAATCTCCTTATTTTCCTACACTTTCTCGTTATATTAGTCAGTGAATGAACAGGACGTCGTTATGAGTTTTAAGATGAGAGAAAATAATCAAGTGTGAAATACCACAATATTTCCTTATTAATGATGAACAGGAGATAAAGAGCTCCGAGAGAAACTACTTAATTTACGAAGTTGTGCACGCAAGTTCAGTCCAATTTTTCACAAGTATTGTAACATAAAGATTTATCCCATTGAACCCTATGTGAGGTATTTTTGTTCGTTAAATAAGAAACTGCATTTTCGATTTTGAATCTATCTGTCTCTTTTATGTATTTATTTTTACTATATGTACATTTTATTTATTTATTTATTTATTTATTTATTTATTTATTTATTTATTCTCATTTTCGAATTGATCTTATTCTTCTTGACAGAAAGTACCTGTTTTAAGATAGCAAAAGATAAGGTTCACACCATGGAAGGTGGAGCTCAACTCTAAATGTTGAAGAGAGAAAAAAAGACGCTCCTCGTGCCTTGAGCATGACCGAAGCAAAACACAATTTGGTCGATTGCCAATGCGATTATTTGACCGTCCGTTAACCATCACAAATGACGATCTCATCTTTACATAGCTTTCTGTCACTTGAGTTTGCACGGTCTGCATCATCTTATTCTATATATTATGTATACCAAGGCACGTTGGAAGCAAATTTCAAGTGCTTATTGTGGGTGGTACATGTAACCAGTCTAGTCGGAAAAGAAGTTATGACGGGAGAGATTGCCTTTAAGCCCTTATGCTCCTTGGATTATAATTAGTGTGGTGGAAAAAATGTGTGTGTGTGTGTGTGTGTGTGTGTGTGTGTGTGGAGAGAGGTGTGGGATTTCCTTACCTTCACCCCCTCCACCCCACTAACGCCTATGCTAAAGGCTTACGACTTATGAATATGTCTTACAGCATCTGCGCAGCGGGTCTGCCACGTTTTCTTGTTTCTCATTTTTTTAAAGGAATATAAGTTCTTGGAAGTAGTTTAGCAGATTTATATCGATATTTACTCTGTCTTTTTTTTAAATAGCACTGCGTGCGGCGTGTCATGTAAGTCAAGGCTTTGTCAGAAACTATGCTCATGCATGTATTCGTTATGCAACAGAGGTTGTCTGCGTAATAACATGTACCCGACTGATTCAAGATCATATACACTGCTCATGGAGCATATCTTGGACATTTCTATTGATGGCGACCTTTGTGAAATGTTATGAAGTGATGACGATTCGAAGAAAAAAAATAATCAAACAGCTCTTTTACGCACCGCCATTGCAAAATTTATGTTAACCTTTTTGAACTTCGTACACCCAAAAATGATAACATGTCTTTTGTGAATTTAGCATGGCTATGAATACGCAAAGCAGCGGGAAAAAATAGCTTAACTTGAAATATTAAACAGCTAACAGAAAACCTATTATAATTTGCTGCAGGATGGGATATTTAATGGTGACATAAAAAGAAAGTCTCTGGACAAACTTACACTTTTGTGAAACAAACCCAAAGGTGTGATAACACTTGGAGAATGTCTAAGGTACCACAAAATCGTCTACAGCAAGTCGGGTTGGAAAAAGTAGAGTTTTTATGGCGGCCGTCACGCAATGTCACGCGAGATTAATCAATGGTTGGCAAATGTTTGGTTCACCGGAGACAGGACGTGCCGTTTCCTGATCGAGAGGGGCTCATTTTCTCACGACACCTTCCAGTTTGACATATGCAAAATGGCCAAACCGCAAGAGATAGCTGCACAAGAGATTGTCCGGATTACGACTGAGTTAGGCAAATTACGGTAATGGCGTTGTAAACACTCGTAATCTGTCGTCATAATTGACGGTTTACGGCCAACTTTCCTCAGCAAATGAATTTTGCATTTTGAGAGATCTTCATCGCCCCAATAAGCGTTCTCTGCACGCAAACGTGTCACCGCTAACAAGGGAGATCTCAACCTCTGATATTTGACTAAACAGTTAACATGTCTGCCTAGCCCCCCCCTCCTCCCCGTCCCCTCCACTGCGTGGCAGATGGGCTGACGGTATGTAAATACCCTGAAAACAGTGGCCATTGTTGCAAAAGTTGCAAAATTAATTTTTAAAGAGTATTTCCAGACCTGCAGACAGGGAGAGTTCGGGCGGTTTGAGAGAACCGCCCTTTTGGTAGGAAAAGTCTCCTTTGAATCAAAAGTTGATCTAGGTTCTATGCCACTTGCTAAGTTGGATCAACTATGGGGGTGGAAAAGTCCACTGTCTCTGATTTGGCGCATGTATCAAACGATACTAAAGGATCCAGGTTTTTAATCCCCTCCCGCTCCCCACCACCACAAAAAACGCCCCTGTCTACTTCCTGTGGGTAACACTATATAGACAACACTGCGGTGAAGGTCTGGTGAATTGTTATAAATATACTCTCTTTAAAATACAAAATCAGGATCAATAAACAACAAGACAAGAAATAAATGATAAATTGATAAATTGAATATGAAAAATAGGTAATGAATAGAAAAGCACAAGTCGTGAAAATTTACCCCATATTTTTACGAGTAGACTGAAATCCTACTTGTATTTCCCTCCTTTGAAGATTATAAAACCGCTCCATTCATTGTTAATTGTCATCAATGAAAAATAAAAAAAAAACTCATTTCATCAAAACTGAACTGTTTATAACCTGATCAAACAATTTCGACTTGGCACGAAAGTAAAAGAATCTGTTCCTTAGTTGTATCAATTCTCTTTTAGACTTTTTTCAGCTTTAATTTCTTGGCCATAAATAAAATAATTTCCTTAATCTTTAATTTCATCACAAAAGGATATTTTCGCCACAAAAAAAAAAAAAAAAAGGTTTTAAATGGACAATGGAATACTGTCATCTAAGCGAATGATGAACTTCTACATAGCAATAGAAACTGAAATTCTACACATTCAATTATTAAAAATCGCTGTTTTTGATAAACAAGTACTATTTATAATTGAAAGTTTTATTCATGAATGGATTACAATTCCTGCAAACTCAGCCAAGCAAACATGAGAGAGGAAAATCTGAGCAAAGTGGACCATTTCTCGATTGGAAATTACAAGAAAAAGTTTTTTTTAGGAAAAATTATAAATCATTTGATTTGTCCAGTTTTATCACGATAAAATAATTCTTATAGTTATTCTTATCTGCAGAATTTTGAAATATTTTAGAATTTCACCCATTTTGCGGGTATTTAGACTTTAATAACTCAAAATCTTCAATTATTATTTAATAAAATTTCACGTTATACTAAAAAAAAATTCCTCAGGGAAAACACTTTTCATCTCAACAATGCCCGTGACATCCTTGGCGCGCTTAACGCACAAATCAAAAAGTACAAGTCAGAAAGATGCAAAAAACGGGAAAGAAGTGTATCGTAGTTTTCCCAGAAATTAAATTGCTTTCTTACACACGAGCGCTCGCGCGTATACTACTCTCAATCTCTTTTTGTACTCGTTTTCTTCGTCCACCCGATATTTAAATTTTCCCAGCCCTAATTGACTTCGGAATAAGACTTAACACAATTGTGAAGTTTAACATAAATTAGGTGTACATTTTCTAGAATTTTGAAATCAAATACTATCATCCTCCATTTACCGATTTAATCATTGCAAAAATCCTTTCCTTGTTAACATAAGTGCGTAAGTGAAAAGCTTTACGAAGGCCAGACTTACCGATACAATAAAAGCTTGTTACAATGTATATTTAAGATATATAGGTCGATATATGTTTGTTGTTTAAAATATAAATATAATATAAATGTAGTTAGAAGATTAAAAAATTCTAGACGTGTTAATTCTAATTCTAAATAAATCTACAGCATCTCAAGTTTTTTGAGAATATACCTCAAGGCAAGAAAGAAGGGTGAAACGTTTACTGTGAATTATTATTATTATTATTATTATTATTATTATTATTATTATTATTACCAAACTTGCAACCCGAGGGTTGGATTATTACAATCATTGCATCATAGTTGAATAAAACCATTAGTAAGTAAGAATAAAGGAATATTAAAAGACATATGTAAACAAATTAAAACAAAATATCTAAAATGCAAGGTTAAAAAAAGAAGTAAAAATCTATCAGTTAATTCTGAAACTTTTGAATGTTTCCTGTTCCCTTAATGAATATTTGACATTTTGTTTTGGTTGTAAAAGATAATGCAGCCTATGATCCGGTTCATTTGATATACTAATAAACAATTTTTTGCATGCACGGAGCCGTCTTTCACTCAGTAGTTCAAGTCTACTAAGTTCACAAGCAGCGTCATATTCAAGATCAGGATAAATTATCTTAAGAACTCTTTCTTGAGACTTTTCTACTAGGGCAGTCAATTCATTCGTTAACCCAAAGTGCCAGACAGGGGCAGCATATTCCAAAACTGGCCTTATGACCGTCTGGTAACAAGTTACAAGGTCATCAGTTGTAAGGCCTGCACGCTTAAGGTGCTGTAGGAAATAAATCCTTTTGCTTGCTTTTTTAGTGATTTTGTGAAAAAAGGTGATTTAATTTTTTTTTAACTTTTGGCGGTTTTTGAGACGCATGAACCGAGCAATGGTTTAATACGTTAGTAGAAGATTAGACAGGTTAAGATTTCATCCATCATTGATAAATACTTCTGATTTCTGAGGATAACTGTCCCTCATAGTTGTATCATAAATTGTAATATTTTATATTTCTATAAAATCAATTAGTATCAACATTTTATTTACGTTACTTAAGATCATTTAAAACACACGAGTTGTTAATTCTTATGACATATATGAAAAATATATGAATGTGTTTTTTTGTTTGATGTTTGTTTAAAAAGGTAAACCCTACGTATTTTTTATTAACACTTACAGTAAAAAGCGTTTAAGTTCTAAAGTTATTTGCATTATTATTATTTTAAAAGAGCGATATTTAGAAATTTATAACTAGTTGAATAGCAAAACAAAGTATCATAACCCCGATTAAGTGTTGTTAGTTTTCGCCTTACTTTTTGAATTAAGAAGAATAATAGAATAAGATAAAATAGTTTAAACTACTTGGCGTTGAGTTTTTTTACTGACAAGAGGTGTATGGGTACGTTTTCCGCTGTCAACTCTAACTAGTAACGTGCGATGTGCGCATTAAAAACTCTTATTATCTTAATTTTATAAGGCGTAACTAATATTAATAACGTGGCCAACATGACTTTTTTGAGACCTAAAACAATATCAGAAACACTACATCTGTTTACCTGTTGAAAACCTAAGCATCGCCTCTCTCTGGTGAACCAGCGCAGAGAAAGCATCCCCGGCACCAATATACGGGAACATACTCCAGTAGTTATACAGCGAAGAGAAAAGGCTGGGGGACTCGGCGGCCGCGGCGGAGGAGAGGGGCAGCATAGGGCTGGAGGGAGACGGAGGGGTGATGCCAGCGAGGGGTGACGTTGTCGTCGGCGTTGTGGATGCCGCTACGCGGCTGGTGCTGCCCTGTGAGGCGAAACGCTCGAGGTCGTTTGCTCTTCGGATTTCTTCGAGGTCTGCAAAGCAAGGTGGGTTGAATCATTATTCTATCTTGATTTTTTGCTCTCAGTTTCTAAATCAATATTAAAGAAAAGGGATTTTGAAGAAATGTTGAATTTTATTATTTTTGCACAACAAACTTTTTTGCGAATATTGCTTCTAGTGCTTTTCTAAACCAATTACGAATATTGTGTAACAAAAAATTGAAACCATGCATATATGCTTTTCTCTGATTCAAAAAGTATCTATATCACAGTATGGCACTCCTTTCTACAGATAAATCAACACAAGTGAGTGTGGGATATTGAAAACAGACAAACAAACAAATAATAATATTAAAACATATATCATACATGTACACTGCTACGGCAAAAGCATTGCAGAGTGCCAAAAGCAGGAGCACTGTGTCATTCGAACGACACTTTTCTTCCATTTTTCCACAACCTAACAACCTATTAGTTCTGGACCCGTTTGTGTATTTAATGTGATAGGTTAAGTATTTAAACTAGCATTTTAAGAATGCATGTACTGTAAAATGGGCCACCATAACAGTCGAGAATATCAGAGCAGAGGCAGTGAATGTATTGGACCGAAGATCACCACCGGGACTTCCTGTCAAGCCGATGAATGTTTATTATTATTATTATTATTATTATTATTATTATTATTATTATTATTGTTTTTTTTATTACAACATTAAAAAAGTAATTATAATTTAGAACCACAGGCGTAATTCTGAATTTGAGATACGCACATGTATTTAGACATAGCAAAGTACAAAGAAAATAAAAGCACAGAAAGAGGGTACAGGCGCTCCTAGGGAATTTTACAAATTGAAAATGAAGGCATTATTTTGACGTTTGTCTTGTTAACATAGAGATCTAAGCCATTTACAGAATTTTCCGCAAGGTCAGCTGCAGATTTCCAGCCTTTCTCCACTCAATTTAAGACATTTGTGACAAAACCCTTAAAATCGACGAATTTTGAATCTCAAACCAACTGGCGAGAACACATATCTGTAGCTATATATTTCCAAGACACTAAAATGTAGTAACTTGTTTCGTAGTCTAAGATAGGGTACAAATTAACATTTAAATGTACTGGGCTGAGAAAAAAATCAAACGACCCCCCCCCCAAAAAAAAAAAAATACATTCTTATTCTACTGCTTGGATGACAAAGACTTTACTTTGATAGAGTAATTTCCATACCACTTTAAAATGTTTCACAATTAATTCCGTAGCTTCCAAATCATCCCATATCGTGCACGTTTGAAAATATTTCCAGCACCAGTGAAAGTGACACATATGAATAGCAAAGAGTTTATTTTTGATAGAAACAGTTCCAACGTATAATGGTAAAATACTAATTTGAAAAAGACACCGAAAGGGTAGCTCGAAATATAAGACCTTTCAATTAAAATATACCGCTCTTCTATATATTTTATATAAAAATCACTCTGAAAAACTCATTCTTTTCAATGAACTGCTTTGGAGAGAGAGAGAGAGAGAGAGAGAGTGAGAGGGAGAGAGAGAGAGCACGTTGGATTTTGGGAAAACATTCAACTCCTAAATACAGTTTGCAAAATACAAATGAAAAAAATTGTTCATTTAACAAAATACTATATCAAATACAATACAAAACCATACTGAACATCAAATAATATATCAAATACAATACTATGGCAAAAGACCTTAAGATTGAAAGTTGACTTTGACTTAAGACCAAAAAATGTTAAGTCTACTTTGAGCAAAGACAAATCAGTAGTTTTCCTATCAATGAAATATTGTGTCAGTCTGCATGATAAGAAGAAATGAATAAGCTATTATTTTAGGCTACTTCTCCTGAATTGAAGTAGACCGAAATTAGACCTTCAAATGAAGACAAAGTTTCCATCTAAAACTTCAATTATAAAATCGTGCCCAGTTTTTTTTTTACCTCTTGTCTACATAACAAACACATTTACGACTGTTTAACAGAGAAGGGGTCACGTCACGCCCCTGGTTGACAGTCACACCATTTGTTTTAAATTCAATACCTACGATTTTACATATATTTAGAGGCTCTTTAACTTTGAAATATCATGTTGGTGGCGTCTCTTCCAGGGTGTCCTACATGAAGCATTTTTTAAATAGAAATTCATTTGTATTCTTTTATTGTGCATATAACTTATTCACTAAGCAAATATATACCATGCTGTCTTTACTATGTCGCTTAATTCATGGTAACTTACCTTTGATATCTTTTTCTGCTGCAGATTTTATTTTTGCTTGCGAGGCAAGTATACTATCTATTCCGAACTTGAGACCTGATGTCGAATGTTTCTGATCATTTGAATTCCTGTCATTTTGCGCCTGAACTGCAGATAGCAAGTTTTCTGTGCCGTTATTGTTCATCGTCTCGCCTTGTGTAACAACTTGTAAAACTTTCATTTTCCTGTCACTAACTCTGTGAAATGCTGATTTGACGTTTTGGCTACTGTCACTGAATTGAGTTGGTGAAGTACTGCATCTATTGTCAGCCATTTTCCAGATCGCTGTCGTTGCTTTGTCAACATTAAACGAATTTAATCCTTCGTTGTCAACGAGTCCTGAACTAGTGCCTAGTATACCAGAGGGTTTGACATGTAAAGGTTCCATTTAAAGACAGATCCAGTCCTTACGTTGATCTAATGTCCCTGTTAAGCTCCCTGTTAACTTTGTCCAATAACTTGTCAGCTCGTTCCCTACGTCTTATGTTGGACGCTGTTCTTCTTTAAATGATAAGACTCACTGTAAGGAGCAGTTCATAACTGTTTATGCTCAGTCGCGCTCTGTTAACCCCTAAGACTTAAAGACCCTCCACAATCTGCGTTCCTAAATTCTTAAACGACCCACCTCGCAGATTTAGAGTTCGGATAAGACGCGCCGGGTTTTCGCCAATAAAAAAATACATCGAGATTAACGTAGTCATACCCGGTAATTTAGCCCGTATCCACCTAAATATTACTCATAGATAATAATGCGGTTGCTGGCGATGGGAAAGAGACAGCGCATAGGGACCTAAGCAAGAAATTATTTCTGTCATTTTTCTTTCTTTGTTTATTTCTTCCTCATCTCCTCAGCTTTTCCTTCGTTTTTTTTGTTTATTTTGTACTTTCTTTATTTTGAGCTTTCTTTCTCACTTTGAAAATGCATTATGCCGAAACCCACGAGGTACGATTAGTTTAGAGGTGATATTGCTTTTTATCATTCATTAATAAAGTAAGAGAAGAAATGGAAAGTTATGAGCAAGTACCAAATCCGGTTATAAATTGGCAGGTGCACCCGTACCGAGGGGCCAGGTATTTTCCTTTCTTCCTGGGTTTTTGAATCTGTATCGCCTACGATGGGACATATGCGGAAGGAAACATTTGATTTCCTCCCCAGACTAAAGTCTGGCCCATACGAAAGAAACTGGCATTTTTAGAGATAATATGTTTTACTGAATACCCGCTCTGCTATCTACGCCTTCGTGAAGAAAGAAAAAAGACTCAAAATTGGCAGTAAAATTCCCATGAATAGAAACACAAAACACTCCAACATGATATTAAACGCAATTGTTTACCACATGCGTACAACCATATTTTTAAAAAGTAACTTATAACGGTTTAAGGTCCAACAGAAAAGGGCAACTTCACCAACTCGTGACTGAACAGAATAGGCGGCTCTGCTCCCCTGACATGTAACGGCCAGCAGCCAGTTGATGACCAGACCGTTAACCATCGCAGTATATCTCTGACCACTGCCCACAATCACCTTCATCAGAGGTGGCCATCTCGCCAGCATGACCAGCACGCCTCCGTTCTTGTCCTCCCTTATCAGAAACAATAAAAATATTGGCGAGTGAAAAGACTGTAATTACGAGGTGGTTAGAGTAAATAACAGGTGATATCACCTCTCTCTGTCACCCTGCTTTACCCTGAGTTATTCTCTAATCGTTTTGAATGGTTTTGCCGTGGCCCGTGCAAACACTGAAACGGGTAGTTGATTTTTGTGAAGTAGCGCGCGGGGGAGGGGGGGGGCATCGTGGTCTTTATATCAATAAATAGAGGTACAGTGGAGACAAGAGACAGGTGACCAAACACTTTCCCCCAAAAGCACAACGCATAGTTTATAGATAGAGAAGGGCTCTTCTCGTATTTTGCTGGTTGTGTAACTTACATTTTCCGGAAATCTTGTTCGAATATCTGGAAAATCGCTTTATACATGTCAAGAAAGAGGGTCAAGCATTCTTATATTCATCCATTTGTTATCCACAGATACAAATTAAAATTTACATGGACAAATTAGGTTTGATTTAATTATTCACTTGTTTATTTATTTTAAAATCTAATTTTGGTCATTCTAACAGCCGTCTTAAGCACCTCTCTTTAGTAGAATATCAGGCCAAAATTATGCTTTGTTTACATAAATGATAAGTGTCAAAATTCAGATAGAATTGCTGTGACTCAGCGTTTAGCAGACGCAGTACAGAAAGGAGAAAACAATTAATTTCATAGCCCAACTGGACACCCTTGACCGCAACCATGCAGTAACTGGCCACGGCATGCCCACAACCATCCTGAGACTCTGTAGATAAGCGATACAACACGGAAAACCATCTCTGCATTGCCGTATGAAGGCGCATTCACATTGCACGGATTTCGATCTGAACCAATTTCAGTGACATTGATAACGGCATAATATTGGGCTTATTGCAATCAACTCGGTAACATGAGGATTTTTACTGAAAACACCTACTGTATGAAAAGTTCTTTGTTACTGTTTGAACAACATGCTGCGTGTTCAACGACAAGATTGCAATCAATATTGTTTAGACATAATCTACGTCACCTGGGTCGGTTTCAAAGCATTCTATATTGTGAATGCGTTTCTATGGACATGTAACTTTACTGTGGTAGCCAGCAGACTAGAAAGCTTGTAACGGGACTTGTTAACGAAATAATCATGTTTTATGAACGCAGAAAGAGACGGTTTATTTTGTTCCATGTCTGGAGGGGCTAGGTCCTGGGGCCTGGAGTAGATAAGAAACTGGGTTTGTCCATGTTAAAAAATTAGTTTACACGTACAGGATTTTTTTCCATGTTAATAGCGTTCGATAGTCCAATTAATGCCACACTCAAAACCTAACCCCTGTCGCTGAAGGTAAAGTTTATGTTGAGACTACTTTAAGAACTTCAGCGCATACGATACCATTTTTTCTTTCTTTCCTGAGTCAAGATGTCTAGATTTGATGAGTATCTTCATTCCTTATGTATTGGAAACTTTTCAAGAAAAAGGGCAAAACAAAATGACCACCTGTTACCACCTTTCCACCTTTCTAATCTTAAGATGAGTTTTTTTTCACCCTGCTGCTGCGGTCATCGCTGCTTTTGATCTTTTTATACTGTTTATTGTGGTATCTTAACTGTATTAACATGTTAGTTATTTGGAGATCGAGTATTTCTTTTGTCTTTTTAATTTTTTCCTACATTTCTTTTTGTCATTCGCTTAACAGTGTGTAGCCTGGATTACATTTACACGGGCGCCGTGCGATGAAATTGTCCGTGCGATATTTTTTTTTTGAAATCGTAATGAGCTACGGGCTACGCAGAGTATGTCTACATTATATGGCCTTATATCCATACGATTCCGAGCGATTTCGCACGGCCACCGTCTACCTCCGCTCAGATACCTTACGAAAAGGGTATTACGGGCGTACGGGTATCGCATTTTAAATGTAATCAAGGCTTAACATCCGTATTTTCATTATCTCTGTCTTGACCTGACCTTACCTTCATAACACTTTGAAGTAATTTGTACAATATTGCAATAAAGGAGCCATTAATTAAGAAACAAGGTGAAAGGTGGGTTTCACAGCTTCAAAGTTCCACTATACAATTATCATGGTTCCGGATAGTCCACTCAAGGTTGGCCATTAAACGGGCTTTACATATGTCACCAAGCGATATCATCTTGGGTTTCATTAATTATTCTGTTCCAAAGGTATAAGCTATTCGGAGAAATATGGTCACATCGCGGTTAACATCATAATTAAGCGGGGGTAATTTTAAAATTAATTAATTTCCAAATGGGGGGCAGCAATTACCACATGGTAATTTATGATTTAAATGATTTCAATTAGACCACCCAAAAGTGCTTTTACATATGTTACACAGCGATTTTTATCACGAATGACCGAAATTAATACTTAAAAGCTGTTTTATATATAAATTTGACATTGTGACTTTGTGGTAAAGACACCACTAACGTCTGACACTTTGGTCAATTGTGCAATTTAAGAATAATCCGTCTTGAATTCGTGACGCAACAACCGGTGATTTTAGTGTCAGCCGCAGGTGTGAGTTCACATGTTTCTTTCCTCTGGTGAATGTCTACCTCTGTTGCCATTAACGCACCGTTAGATGCTTTTAAATCAAAATGAAATGCAGTTACAAATCATGAATATTTGTGGTGTAATATTTTGACAAAGATTGTGACTTATTTTTAACCATTGTAATTTAGAGAGGAATATTGGGAAAATGTGGATAAGGTGTTTAAGGTGTGAACGGATTTTTCATGCAAGTTTCAAGTTTTCGATATTGTATCGATAAAGTGACAAATTCACAGTTAGACAGAATATGCAAAGAAAAGCTTAATGTAGTTACGCGCTACTGAAAAGAACCATCCTTATAGATCAAACTCTTTCATAGAAACCATCTACAGATCAAACAATTGGAGCGCCACAGAATCTGAAAGCGTACCCAACGCCATTTGCCAAGTAAAGTAGCACAGACAGCCCACAGGTCACTTCTGTCTGGAGCCTGTTTTACAAGAAAACCCATACTAAAAATTGGATTAAAGTTACAGACCATTTATTTTAGCCAGCTTTGATAAACCGGCAGTAGCCCAATTATCTGTTTTATAATTAGAAATACGTTTTAAGTTTTAGATTAATAACTTTCTCTTGAGTTGAATTATTTTGTTTTTTATTGAAGTAAAGAAGGCAATAATTCTGGTCTTTTAAAAAGTTAAGACCAGGTTTCAGAGTTAAGTTATTTTTGAAACCGAGTCTTGCTAACGTTTCACATGTGAACAAAGACCCGTCTCAAAATTTCGGGTCAGTGAAACTCAAAATGAGTTTTCCCATTATCCTTAGATACCCTTAGTTATCAGTATAAAACCCTTTGTGGACTTTAAGGAAACAAAATAGAAACACAAGTTTTAGTAAAGAAATTACAAAATGAAATGATTCTTATGATATTGTTTTATTATAAAAGTAGTCGATTGTAGCACACAAATTCAATTTGAAAATGTATTGTAATGAATTTAATGCATTTAATGATGTGAAATATATACGGTATTTTCGACCCGCTCATTTCATCATTATCTTGTCATCTACTTATTTGTGGCAGTAAAGGTAATCTGCACGACCCTTGTTGACCGTACGTTGACCTAATCATCTCCACGTTTTGTTTTCTACTCGTATCTCCGCTTGTTACTCTGACCGTCATTTAAATTTTACAGTGTTTTTTGTAATAATATGGTCATTTTGACAAAAATGAACGCCATCAGATTCATTACGCTAGGGACAGGTCCATGTTACAAAAAAAAAAAAAAAAAAAAAAAAGGTTTGGAAAATTCAGACTACCCGGCAGTCCTTTAAGGATAAATAAATAACTAAATAAATGAATAAACAGAAAACTAAATGAAAAGATAATTAATTAAATTGAATGACCTAGCGGGGAAGGGCCCATTCCCAATGAATGCAATCACATTAATATATTAACACATCCACTCCTAGCGTTGTTCAGAATACGGAGAAACTGGTGTTATACGATCACGTTGAAAAAAAGAGGAGTGTGAGCCAGTTAATCTGATTGCCTTCAGCGAGGGTTGGGTCTATCTCCGTAGAACCTAAGATCTAATAAGATGGTATATTCGATCTTAGCTAGAACCAATGAGCTACATAGCTGAGCATCTCATTGGGAGAACGATAGTTTCATTGGAAATTAGCCCGAAGATGTAAATATAGACCATTTCCTCAAATCGTATCCAGTTTATTTGGAAAGTATATTTAAGGTCTGAGTATATACCACAAATTCATTTTATTGAGACCAAATCAAATCAAAGTGATGTTATTTTTTTCTCGTTATGATAAATTAGGTAAGTTTGTTTTTTCACTCTGACGCCAAAACAACAATATAAAGAACTATCCTGACCACATAAACACCATCAAAGTTCTTTGTGTGTTTAGTGAGGGCATCTCAGACCACCGTGGTGTGTTTGGATGCAATCAGGAACTGTCAAAGCGTTTTCTCCAAGATATCTATAACTTCATCATTCCTATAGTCACGTACATACGACATATATAACAAGATTTATCAGACTTGTCTACACGGGAATTGTGTCAGTGAATTTGATTTCGATTTGAAATGTACCACTAGATGAAAAAAAAGCTTTCCTCTTATTTGGACACCTAAAAACAACAGAGCTACAAAAACAATCAAACAAAATAAATGTGAGTGGACCCGTCCTAAAATTATTGTCGATTCCTATTTAAATTTATTTCCTGCCCCTGTCAGCATTTCTTAGGTCGGAAGAAAACATTGATGTTCAGTTATTTTGCCTGTTGTGTCATTTCCCGCGAGTTTGTCTTAAGCGAATGTTTCTTGAAATGTTGGTACTGTCGTCGGAATTTGAAACCATTTTTTGTACACAATACATGATTTAAAATGCCTGTTCCTTTTGTCTACAATTGCAACTAGTGACTTGTAATGACTAGTTTAATTTTACGCGTCTTTTTCAGCAATTCTGGTATTTTCTACTAAAAATATAAAATGTGTGATTTCGACACCATTGAACATTAGTAATCCGATGATCGCGGACAAGTTATATAAGCAGGAGTATAATAATAATAATAATAATAATAATAATAATAATAATTAGGACAATAACAACAGTGGCATATTCCATATGTGCATATCTGTCTTATTTACTATGCAAGTTTCATTTATTAATGTTGTCCTGACGTAAATATCTTCTGTGAATTGGTCATTCAATTTATTTAATTATCTTTTCATTTAGTTTTCTGTTCATTCATTTATTTAGTTATTTATTTGTCCTAAAGGACTTCTGAGCAGTCCGAATTTTCCATTTTTTTGTAACATGGATCTGTTCCTAGTGTAAAGAATCTAATGCCATTCATTCTTGTCAAAAAGACCATATTATTACAAAAACACTGTGAAATTTAAATGACGGTCACAGTAACAAGCGGAGATACGAATAGAAAACAAAACGTGGAGATGATAAAATCATGTCATATTCAGCGCTCATCATTACATGCACACACACGTGCGTGCCCACATCAGTGTGTCACCGTTGTTTGTTCTCGATATAGCCATCTTTATCGTTGTAAGTGGTTGAGCAGCGCCATCAGGAAATATTGCATGGTAATGGTTCTTCTAATCATACATAATTCGCCATAAAAATTTCATATGCATTTATGATATATGATGTAATTGACCTATGAATTGACCTGGGAAATATAGGATTTACTTGTCATTCCTCGACGTTCATATCCCTGAAACGCATGTCAAGTAAGGGCTAACCTTTGGGTAAACTCATTATTGAGCAACTGTCTATTTGAAATATTCAAAAGCATGTTTAACAACCTCAGTTACAATTAATTCAATGATAGAAGCCTTAAGTTGACATTGTCTTAGCCTAAGATCTAATATCCGTTTATTAGATCTTAGTCTTAGCTACGTTAAAGTTGGCTGACCTCGTAAAAGCCCCGGTGATGTTCATTATGATGACACTATGAGTACTCGAGAAGCGAGATTAATTGTACAATTGACATGATGCCTAATTTACCCATGTTACGGTGACTATCAAAACGGGAAAGAACATTTTGATTGGTGTCAGTTATTTAATAAGTGTTTTTTTAGTTGACAAGGATAGAAAGTGTGTAGAAGCGAAATGGTTATATATGCGTACCATTCTGTACGTTAACTTGATAATACCCTGCATTATAAACTTTATTACAATCGAGTATATAAATGTAAGGTTTAAGTAGGAGTCTTCCTTGAAAAAGGTAGGCTTTCTTTTGACAATCATTGCTAAAAACTCTTATGACTAACATGCTTGTATCATTAACAGTCCATATTGTATGGTGCTTAGTTCCAGATATCAACGTGGTCAAAAGAAGTTGTGGCGGGAGTATTTTCAATGAGCTAAGCTGACAGTTCTTTACTTTAACTTGCCTTATCAGGAAAACAAAGTAACTTTGGTATAGGTATGTAAAAGCAACAGAATGGTTGGAGTAGTAAAATGTAATTTACCATTTTCAGAATAGGTTATCGCCCTGTAAACAAGGGAGAGGGAATGGAAAAATGGTAATAAAATAAAAAAATGGCATTAAAAACTCACTTCACCAGTATGCTGTACCTGCCAGTGGAAATAAACCATTTTAATAAAAGACTTGATAAGTATACTAGTACATTACGGATTTTAAAAAGACGACAACAATTAGATTGCCAGTAAAACGTACGATATTTTGTAGGTGATATTCTAGTGTAAATCTGATTTTTTAAAAGAAAATTTGATACAAGGAAAAAATTCGCGTGCTTATAAAACATGAGATGCCTGTGAACGACGTAAAAATGCATTTTTTTCAAAAGTATGAAAAAATAGCTATACATATCTAGGGTTGTTATCTTGTTTCTTGCATCCAACACACATTCCTAATTGTTACAAAATTGCTACCTTAGATCCCGCATGATCTTTGAGGCAAATACCGCCTTATTACCCGTTTTCTAATGTTAAAATAATTGACAACTTTGGAGCGCAAGTACATACAATTATTACATACTAACAAAGAATGTTCAGAAATGTAAGAAATGTAATGTCAGGTGAAAAACTGTGCGGGCTCGGGTACCGACGTTATCGACCTGAAAATAACAGTTTAGAATAGATTTCACACGTGAAAACCCCGGGCGATACTAGCCGTAGCCAGCAATCAAGCCGAATATTTTGCGCCCCTTAATTCACACTTAAACAGAGACAAAGTTATGGTTATCTCGAAAAAAGTGGCAGTTGCGAGATAATTTCACAGCCAAGACCTGTCGTTATCGCGCTCTAATCGCCGGGTTATCATAGATTAGGAGAAACAATTACATATTTTCTTCTATTTCGGATCCCATAAGGACAAGGAAATAAAATATACACTTTTCAAACATATACTATGGCCGTCACTTGACAGCGAAGAGTGAGGTAGCTTTAGTTAATACCGACAAGTGCAACTGGCTTAAATATTCGTTTTTAAGCGAATTTTCCTTTTCTACGCACGAGCATTTGCATGCCTTATTTTCCCATTTCTTCCGAGTATTATTACATGTATTCAGTTCATGTTTACCTTTAGGCCAAAAACTAGAGCGGACTTGCTGTTGTATGTCTTTTCGAATACTAATGTTTACAAAAAGTTTTCCCCTTTTTTTTGAAATAGTGAGAGATTGAAAGTAAATTAAAATGAAAAAGAATAAGATGCTTAATTTGAATTTTAAAGAAACGAATTTGTTTGAAAACATTTTCTATAACAACTTATCTGCACATTCAACGAAGCGGTTCTAATCTGCCCCAGGTCTCCGTTCATTGCAGAGATAAACCTAACCCCAAAAGGTCTTGTTCGTAATAAACTATAATCAGATGATGACCATTCCAAGGTAGAGATAAAAAGGCTAACGTTGACAATTATCTTTCACCGATAACCGAGTTTTTTCTGCGGTTACTACACTAAAAAACGCCTCGTGTCAACTCATTAAAGTCTCGTTTTGTTCACAAGCGACGCCTTACGCGCCGACGTTGCGAAGTCATGGTTGTGATTACAAGCAATATGCAGTAGGCTGTGGTTCTCCAGCTACCGATTTCTGGTTAAAAATGATGCATAAACGCTGTCGTTTTCGTCCATCTATTTCACATAACAACGTGGTAACGACGAGATCATGCTAAAAATGGGTTTGCCCCTTGATACGGAGCTCCCGGAGCCTGCTACAAAATCATTTTTAGGTCAATTTATACTTAAATTTTCTTTTCTTTTTATGTTTCATTCAATAATTTATTCATCGATTTATTTTTCATTTTTTCCCTTTATTTATTCTATTGAAATAATAATAGTGCTTACGTTCGGCCCACCAATTTAATATATCTACAAAAACGACGCATTCATGGTCTACGAATTCAAAATTTAATGTTTCGGAACCAACACGGTCAACTAAAATATAGATGTTGGGGCTTTTTGTGCGTGCGTGAGAACTCTTTTATACTCTCAAGTCATGAAAACTAACTGATTTTATCAAAATTGGATTTTATTCAAAACTATTTTATGTACAACTTGCGAAGAGCAACATATTTGCCAATCACGTACAAAAACATGCACTTACGTATCCAATTATTAAGAGAGACGAGCAGATACAGAGGGACCATACCAAATTCTCTAATATGAACCAATGTGATAGTCTCTAAAATTATATAAAATTATATACAATAAATTTTATACAATATGGAGATTCTGCACCACCTCAACAATCAGACTATTTACATCACATCAACGTTCTAGAATATATAAATGGCAAATATCCGAAAAACAAAAAAAGTTGGAACAAGATTTGATCAAGTCATGATACTCTCATTATGCCATAGAAAATTTACACCATGAATTCTTTTTCAATTGCAGCAGCCATTTCTTCATCTACTGAACCTATAGAATCAAAATCTTTGTCATCCTCGTCATCTTCAAATTCATCCTCGCTTTCCCGACACCCGAACGATTTCTGCAGTCTACTTATAGTATCCTCAGTATCATTTCTCTCGTCATCTTCATCTTTGTACCCATCGTCATCAGAATCATTCTCATTGTCACCACCCCTGTTATGGCCGACATGACTTGCAGTTTTTCTAGATTTCATTTTTTTCACTTTGTTTTTCCATCCAGCGGGGATATCTCCACTTAGACTATCCTCCGTTTCCTCCCCACTCTCTTCATTGCTGAGGACTCTTTGACGTAGCTTTTGTTCCCTAGTTTCGTCGTCATCATCGCTGCTCTCAAGGTCGGAGTCCTCGAAGGCCTCCTCGTCTACCTCCTTGCCCATGTTATCCCAGTCCTCCTTGGAGAATGTCATGAGAGGGTTTATATCGTCTGAAAACTGGCGTCCTCTTCTGGCCGGTTTCAGTGGCTCCATATCTTCATCCGCGTCCAGCAGCACAGTTTCATCATCATCATCGTCGTCGTCGACGACGTCATTGGCGTCAATACCGGCTCCTTCATTTCTAGAGTCAGATTTCTGGCGTTTTGGGGGCTTGGAATTTGCTGCTCCAGACTCTGACCGAGCCCCCAAGCTGTCGTCATCTTCGCTCTTGCGTTTCCATCCTTTCTCTGCATTGGCGTGCTGTCGTACTTTCTGAGAAGGAGCAATGTCAGGGTTTGAAGGTGTGGAGTATTTCTCCGACGTCTCCTCATTGAGCGGATACAAGCTCTCGTCTGGTTTTTCCCACGTTTCATTAGCCGCCCACAACCAATCGGGATTGACGACCTGTACCCTGGATAACCTCTTGGCCTCGTTGACCTTACTGGTCCCTAATCTAGCGGCAACAACGTGGGTGGTCCCATTTTTATCATCTGGCCCAGTTTCTTTGACTATCTTTGTGTGTACGGTGGCCCCTAAAGACCTTGCAACAATGTACGCCCTACTTTTTTCTAGTGGAATGTTCGTAGGAAAGACACCACTAAATACCAGATTCACTCCTTGCAAGACTGTTCTTTTTTCCGATGGAATTATGTCTTTTAAATTGGGGGGCTCTTTTTGGGTGGTGTTCTTTGCATTTTCCAGAGCCTCATAAAACTTTGTGTGTATTCGTGTCAGTATGTTTTCCAAAGAGTTTAAATATTTTACATCACTGTTGTCATCTTCGTCTTCCCACACTACCTCCTCTTCTTTTGTATCAGAAGACTTATCGTTACTTTCATCAGTCATTGTTTCTGGTGTTTGTATTGACTCAGATGCCTTCATCTCTCCAATGTCACTTTTTCCTCTCAATTCCCCCTCTGCTTGCACCTCCTCTGATTGTTCTGAATCCTTTCTATTTGAACGTTCTACTTTATTATCAGTGTCATTTTTCAAATTATCAGATACTTCCATTGCAGAGGAATCATCAGAATTTTTCCTTGATCTCAAGCGAGGGTCCCGTGATTCCTGGGAAGGTTTGACCTCTGTGTCATCTTCTGTGTCCTTGACCTTGTCCTTTTCCTTGGCAGCTGACGCAGCCTCCCTGTCTGACTGTGACCCTGGGGGAGCGTTGATATCTCCTGTACCCTTGAAGAAGCGGTATGGTTTGACGTGGATCAGGTTTGGGGCATAACACCACACATCTTCTCTGTCATCTATGATACAAACCATGCTGTCACCGCACGGAAATAATGACCTAAGGGGGGAAAATCAAGATTTTTAAATTAAAATCTAATTGTGTAAAAATTTAAAGTAGCCACAGCAAACTTGGTTTAGAAGTACAATTACGGAAGAACAGTTATTATCTCATTTTGTCAAGCCAATAGGAAATTCCTGGAACTGCCTTAGTACAGGCTTTAAGTTTGATTATACATATACATGTGTCTCATGCAAAGACTACTATTTTTTATCAAATTAATTTTTATCAAATTAACGGTGGGATGTTCACTCACTTCATGTTAGCAGTCTTAGTTGTGGGGTTGAAACACTCATCTCGAGACAGAATCCTGTGGGAGAAAAACTTTCCCTCGGGGTCCAAGAGCCCTGCAATGGTGTGGGCATACATCCGGGCACCAAAGGTACAGATATGGAGCTCATACAACTTCGAGATGCTCTCCAGGAATTCCTGGGTTCTCGGGCGGAATTTGGTGTGATACCAGAGCTGGACCCCTCCATGGCGCAACTGGAAGTGGTACACACCCTGGATAGATGAGAACAGTGTTAATAAACATATGGAGAATATCTAAGATTACTGAAAAAAATATTGTCAAAACATAAATTCTATCCATGGCATATTTCTAAAAACACTCAAGATAATCAAATCACTAAAATAATTTGAACAGGCTATCAAATATCAAATCTGAAACAGGCAAAAAAAAGCCTTTACTCTACCCTTATAACATGGATGATACTGAAAACTCATTTGTATGAAAAAAAAAAATGCAACAAATGACAGTTTGATCTCATACCAATACACCTTATCTCATACCTTTAAATTGGCTGGAATTTCTTCATTTGTTGTATGAATCAGTGTCTGATCTAGATCTACCAGCAAGACCAGCTTCTTACTTTTAAGAAGCATCCCTTCATCTTCCTTGCCCAATTCCATTGCTTCCTGTGTACAGAATTAAAAGCCCTACAGTAATTATTTACTTACAAAATTTAAGGCTTCACTAAATCATTATGATGAGAAAAAGTTAATAAATGAATTAATCAAAATAAATCAAGTTCAAAATCAAACAGTATTTTAAGGACTGCAAGGTTGGGAACAGTGTAGAATGAAAAACAGGGATAACTTTCCATCCATGAAATTCCTGTTTTAATACATTTCACAAAATCTAATATCCTTCCATGTCACTTTTCAAAATAATAAATAAATAAATAAATAAATAGATAAATAAAAAGAACAAGTAAAAATAATAAACAAATAAAAATAAAATAAAATAAAATAAAATAAAATAAATAAACATTATATAAAACATAAAAGAGGGGATTATCCAAAAAGACAGATAGTCAAAGCCATTTCTGGTCAATAAAGCAGTTCCCACCTCTTGGCTAACCACCAGCTCAGGGATGCTGTGAACCATGGCTACAGATGCAAGTGCTTGCACTTTTCTCTCTCCTGGAACACCAGGAAATCTAAAATTAAAAAAGAGAACAATATAAGCATTGAGAAATTATGATAACAGTGTTGTTAACAATTCATAGTCACACCAGCCTTTAAGTGCTGAAAGTGAAGTGAAAAGAAATGACTTAGTTAAGATAAAATTAATGTCAAAATTTCGACAGTTTAGATTTTATTGGAAACGATCTGTTAGATGTCAAATTAAATGTAGGCAACTATGATGTGATTGCAAACTTAATGCCAAGGAGTTTGATGATTGTAATTTATGGCAGTGCATACAGTTATCATTCCCTTGACAGCATTGTATGTGTTTGCATGCAATAATTATGTTGTGCTTACTCTCTGAGATCTGCTCCACACTCAGCACACATGTCCTTCATCACCACAGAGTGGGTACAGCCTGTCATCATCTCTAACAGGGGTGATCTGTACAAAAGCAAGATCAAAAACGGAATTTATGTAAAAGAATAATTAAAATATTCAGCTATAAGAAAGTGAAAAAAGAGAAACAAAACGTTTTAAAAACCTGGAAAATTGCATTTATACTCCCCACTTCTCTCTTTATTTGCAACTTCATTAGTAACACTAACACAGAACTGAGACGTTGGGGAGGGGGGGTGCCTTAGTTAAAGAGCCGTTACTTAATGCTTGGTGAATCAATATTATTTTTCAATAAATTCAAACAGCAACATCATCCTTCAATAGATATAATGTAAGTTAATTTATTGTTATTATTATTTCACGATTATCATAATGTAAGAAAAGTAAATCAGGTGTTTCTTGCAAGGAGTACCTCGGTTGCACGTTGGTCCCTTCAGGGACGACCAACTTTGATACGGTGCCCACCTCTTCTGATTTTAATTTCAGGTCGGCTTTCGATCCATCTTGTCGAAGTATACATAGAACACTTCCATGAGAAATTTTAGTGCCCTCTTTAACTTTCCAGTGGATGACTTTGGCCTCAGAATCTAATGGTAACACCACTTCCTTTGTGGCGGAAGCCATTCTTCCAAGAGTCAGGGCCGCACTGCAAGGTTTTCTCAATTTTCATTGGTTAAGCGGACTTTAGCTTCCTGTGTTTTGAAATCATGGCGCCAGGAGAAAGGTTTAGGTTTGTGATATGTTTCACGTAATTTAGTATAATTTAACCCTAAATCAATTGTTTTTGTGAATTTTAGTAACTGTTATATCAATGAAAATTTCTGTAGCAAGATCTGGGGTGAACAGAATGGTGATTTCTCTGATATCTAGCTGTTATAAATACAAAATCTTGAATCCGAAGCCGACCTGTCTCTGCAGACAGAGCGCTCCTTTACTGTGTATAATTTGCTATATATCTTAGCATTTGATAAATAGTCGAGTCGGTACTGTTGCCCCTTGCATGTTAAATTTTGAACAGAAATCATTTTTGTTGCTAGTTAATAGGGTCTTTTGCCAATTTTCCTCAATCAATTGTTGATGTGTCATTTACATTTGGCTAAAAAACACAGAGGCAGATTTTGTCAAGAATGTCAGAAGTGATAGTGTTAAATGGATCTTACTTCTTTCCACCCCACATCATGCAGGTTCTCTGTGTGAGTACAATGTTCCCACAAAATGCTGGTCTGATAGAAGGGATTTTTCATTGTTTTATCTAGGTATTTTTTTATCATTTTTCTTGTTATGCCTTTTTATAAAGTAAGACCAAAAATATTTAAATGGGAACAAAGTATGGCATCTACCCTCACCTGCCTATTTAATCTGACAACTTGATAGATTTTAGTTAAAATATATGACAGAAGACAAAATCATTTATCTGCATGAAGTGCCTTGTAAGCAAGAAGGGCTTGTTTTTTTTCCTTGTAATACATGACACCATGATAAATAAATAAATTAATGAATACAATATTTAACATTTCAGAATGCTAAACATCATTTGACAACTGATAAAATCATGAGTTCCACTGCAAGTGACACCCCAGGTGTCACCCCACAGTCCCAGATCATAACCTCAGGCAGGGGATCTAGAACAGGGGGGTCACTAGCAGGGCACAGCGTACGCTCAAGAAGGAAACATACCCCTTATATGAAGTCTGCTACATCGAGAAGGTTAGCGGGTAAGTGGGGAGATTCAACACACAATTCAACAAAAATCCTGATCCTTCTTCTTACCAATGTTAGTTTATTATTTTAATATAAATTTATAGCAGTCTTTGTTCTGAATGCCTGTTATGTCTGGCATGTTTATCTTGATGCCTTCAGATTCCATACAGTTGAGATTGGCATCCACTGTGACGACAGCAGAAGTTGCCAAACTGTTTCAATTTATTTTTTAGGTGTAAAGCCACAAGATGATCAAGAAGAACCTCCAGATTTTGAAGGTTAGTTTCCATTTTCTGCTCAGTCTAGATTTATAATGTACATTTGTCAGTTATCTGTTTTTTACACTATAAAAAAAATGTACATAGACCTTTTTGTGCATATTTTTAAAGCAATTCCAACTGAAGTTGATCTGCAGACAAACAGATCCACAGATCAAGTATAGCTGACCTACTTGAAAGCTTACTGGAATCTATTCAGTGTCTATTATGAGGGGATTATATAGCAAGCTTTCCAGTGGGTTGGCCATATTTGATATGCGGAACTGTTTGTTGGAGGATCAACTTGTTCTGAATCAGTCTTTTGTGATCACAAAGAGCTGTAAATACCTTAATGCATGTGCATCAGCAAAGATTAAATATGAAGTGGAAATGTTTAGACCTGTTATTCTATAATTTGTTAGATTATGTACACTACTTAGATAAATTTACATCAGTAAGTTGCACTGGTTTATTCAAGGAGTACATACTTATAAGATGTTACTTAGTGTAAAATATGATCCCTTTTCTCACTGTGACAGTGATCTCATCAATTTATTTGTTTTCAGGCCTTCTGAAGAAGACTTGGCGCCTGTACAAGATGACCCCCATGTACAACTTCAGTTATGATAACAGAACTTTGAGGAGGCATTCTGCAGTGCTGTCTGCATTTGTGGAGGCTGTAAGTGCTGATGGAAAAATAAATTTATAATTAAATGTTTTCTTTTACATTTATCAGATATGAGCTTTTATTTTATTATTTTTTATTTTTATTATTTATTAATTTTTTGTGCAGGATTGTTGAACTCTGTGGTTTTTATGTGACCTCAGAGTCTATGAACTCCAAAATTTAGGTTAATGTTAATGTTACCAGACAAAGTTCTCTGGGCTTATTAACAATATGGTTAGATATAGCTTTATGGTTAAAAAGTTTAAAATGTGTTTTAAGATAATTGAGATTTTTATATATTTTGTCTCACCAGGAATCTCTGAAAGGGGCAGTGGTCAGTGAGGGAGAGGTGGCGGGGAAGGCTGTGATAAGTGTATATAGAGGACTGAGAACAAATGAAAGTAGGTCTACAATTTGCAGGATAAGTGCAGTCAGCTTATTTAGCTTTTGTTTGATTTTCTAGAAGTCTTTTAACTGTTGCAGATAAAAAAGCTTGCAATCTGTTTTATTAAAAGAAAAATAAATTTTTGATATTTGAAACTGATTGGTATGTAAGATTTATAAGTTCAAGGCATTTTATGCAAAAAAATCTAACTTTTACATAAGAATGTGCTCAAGGGTGTACATGCTTATATAAAGCTTGAAAACATGTTACTGTTAGAAAATGACATTTCTGTTTAATTGCATAAATGTGGGGTTCAGTCACATATTGTCCTTACATTTAAATGGACGTTTGTTGTTCTGTAGGTGACTCAGAGGCCATACAAATTCTAGTGAAATCTAAACCAAGCACAGGTGAGAATTTCAATATTTTTCATAAACACCATCCAAAGTTGCTTTCATGTAGTAGTTGAGTCGATTCAGATGCTGTCACACACAAAAATACTACAGAATTCACTATATTGTGATAGCTGTGAAAAGTGGATTGTTGAAAATATTCATCACATTGCGTTAGCTTTGGCAAGTGAACTGTTCACTCAGTTGGATGTAATGGATGCTCTTCGTTAAAGTCATTACTGGATGTAGTATTGTTTTCTCTTCAGGACAAGGGGAAGCCAAAGTGGCTGTCACTGCTGTGTTGTTTGGAGCGGGTGTGAATGAAGATATCCAGAGGAGGCTCCCATCCTCCTTCACATGGCTACCACTGATGATGGTCAAGGGTCCAGTGGGCATAACCAGCAGTGTCCAGAGCTGGTTGCAGGTAATAGTTGGATTGGCTTGAAGGAGATTGCTATGGTTGGGTTACATTTAAAAACAAGAATGATCACTGAAATGCTTGCAAATCTGGCTGGAGTTTAATAAGTTCTGGCTGAGAATTAAATGTTGTTTAGAATGTTTAGCTTTTAATTTGATGTAGCATCTGTTAATGTTAAGTTAACTCAGTTCAGCAGAAAATTTGCTAGGTTTGACACATTTTCCTAGGGAGTGGAATGGAGGATTGCCTTAAAACAGGCAGATGCTTAAATATAAGAACATACAATACAATTTTTGCTTCCCAATGAGTGCAGTAAGATTGTTTTTGATAGAAAAAGTATTTGACTATGTAAAAATCATATGGGGCTAATTTTTGTACAAATGTGTATTTATACTACTCTTTTACCAATATACTGACATTTATACAAATGCAGTAGAAAATTTTCTGTGACTGATAAATATGTTTACTGATAATACATCTTTGTTTTATCAAAGATATGCTGAAAAATCGATTACTTGGCTTAAATGATAAAAAACCCAATATAATTTTTAGTGTATTTTGCATTTTTACTCTCCAGAGTAACTTTGACTGCCACATCACCCCAATGGAGTTCACGTCCACTGACCTGTCCTGGATGGTTGCCATGTGGGCAGGGGTGGAGACAGGTATGATTTATTTCCAAGAATGCCCCCAATGATTCTATGAAATTACTAGAGCTATCTTTTTTTTTTCCCCACAAGTATAGACTTAGGAATTATTGAGATTGAATAGGGAACATTGTTAGTCAGCAATATTCCTCAATACGTTTTGGATAGTTGCAGTGTAACTTTATGTCAGACTTTGAGCAGAATGCTTGTTAAGATAACTGAAACCTTATCATAAGTCTTCTGAAGAACTGCTATATGTTTTTGTGTTGTATTAGGCCTCCACTCCCCCCATATATGCCCCCCCCCCCCCGCCATACAGAGCTGTGTACCTTTGGTGCTTGTGTTTTCAGGATTTCTGTAAAATTTGTGTTAATATTTTTTCTTCAGACATCGGCCACAAGCCAGTAGAGTTGCTATACAGAGTGCCACAGGTGGAGGGGTTGTCATCCATAACCTACACAATTAATGCTGGGGATTGTAAGGCACTCTGGGATAGGTAAGGACTGTGTTTGTTTTTCTATAGAAGTTGTGTGGGAATGGTAGAAATTAGGGTTAAGAAAGTAATTGACACAGAGTTGTACTGAACATTACAGTTACTGTAGTGAGTTCTCTAAGCACAGATTGTGGAAATCATTATCTTCATGAAGCTGTCAGTTATTGGTGAAAATAATATCTTTATGTCTGTTATTTTTCACCCAGTGTGCACACAGAGGAGAGAGACGAGTTCACAGTGGAGGAAGTGGAGGTCTTCACCAAAGCTCTTGAATCACATTTTTATGCACACTTCAATATTTTTCTTGGGGTAAGTATGTACAGAGGTAGAAATCATATTTTTCCCAGCCAAAGCTAAGAAGTATTCAAATGAAAATATTTTTTGATAGTGAAGACGAAGCCAAGCTTTTAGACACACCACAAAATTAATTTAAAGAAATTATTTTTTCTGTAACATATGATGCATTTTATTTCTTTGGCTAAGATTTTTGTTGAGCTGTTATTTATGATCAACCAACATGTTTTAAATAAACAAAAGAAAATAGTATAAAGTGATCCCATTTTCTGTTCAGAAATCTTATTTCTTTATCAAGGAAAAGTTAATTGATCACAATGAAATGTGTATTTTCCTTTTCTCAGATTAAAAAAATGTCATAATGGAATAATTATTATATTTTATAGCACATGCACCTCAGTAGGGCTGGTACTGGCATAGGTCTGGTGTCCATGGACGGGAAGGTGAAGGTAATAAGGTTATACTGTTTTAGAAATCTCACGTATTAAAATTTAGATAAGATTTAGATAGGTTTCATCTGTTACATAACTTTGAAAGTAGTATTCATTAATTTAAGAGATTTCTGTATTTTCTGAGCAGCATTAAGGTGAGATAAAAACCCTAAAAAAACTTTTTAATTTAATCATTTTGCCTTTATTCATAAAAGATCAAAATGTCTGATTGTGTTGGTGTTCTTCTTGTCATGGATCAAATCGTGTTATTCATTTTATTTCCTGGTGTTTACTTTCAGTTATTTCAAAATGATCATGTGCTGAGAATGTTGTCCCATTTTACCCAGCTGGCAACAGAACAATTGGACCTCAGGTGATCTGTATGAGTGCACAGTACTAGCGCTTGTGTGATGTCCTTGAACATAAAAATCTAAAAATGATTCAATTCATTTTGGAATTGACATCAGGGCGAGGTACAGTGAATATCAGAACAGTTGGAACTCACATGATCTGTATGAGTGCACAGTACTTGTGTTTGTATGATGTTCTTGAACACAAAAATCTAAAAATGATTCCATTCAGTTGGAAATTGACATCAGGGCGAGGTACAGTGAATATCAGAACTGTTGGACCTCAGATGATCTGTATGAGTACACAGTATTTGTGTGGTGTTTCTAAACATGAAGAGGGAGAAATACTTTAATTCTTTTGGGAATTGGTACATCTGCCATAGGACCTCGGGTTGAGGTATGGTGAATATTAGAACACGAATGTGAGGTGATAAAGGGATATTTTCACCACGCTAACACAAATGTGCTAGCTAAGAAAACTTGGCAAACTGTGGCATATAACCTGCTGCCATACGGTTAATATAAAGTTGTATGTGATGACTAATTTTGTTATTTTATGGTTACTATGATGACATAAGGTCGTCTACAATGGTAAGGGCCATTCCTAACATTGTCCTCGCAGTGGTCTTTTTCTCTTCGTAATTTTTTTTTTGTAATTGGATGTCCCTCCCCAAAAAAGAGAGCGAAAATGAGAAATGATTGCACCTCTTCCTTATTTATTGATCTTGATTAGATTAAATGATCTTCTGACTTACTGGCAATTATGTATATGTATATAATGTCGAATCATGTTAATAGGAGTCGTTTTCAGTCTGTCCAGTATACAGGACTGGTCACTTCATTACTGAAAGCTTTATCATTTTTCATCATATAAAAAAGTGATTTAAATTTGAAAAATTGAGAAGTACTTTGTAGACTGACCTTGGCTTTGCTGCTGGAAATTTTGTCATTTTTACTCATAGACTGAAAACAAAGAATCTTTATTTTTCTAAATAAGAAGTATGTATATTTGAGTTACTTTTGAATTTAATTGTGACTTTTTTTGTGATATGTAAATAAAACCATTTTTGCTATGTAACACTTTGTTTGTTAATTTCACCATGAATGTGTATGCCAAACAAAAATGGAGGCTGTAAGCTACAGGTACAGCCTTGTTTATCAGAATCATCCATTAGTTAAATTGATTAAAATACTTTTGAGCCAGGAGGCAAGAAGGTGATTATTTCTTTAAGTGCTGAGATGCCATGAAAGGGAGCCAAAAGTGCATACGTTTTCTCTTTCTTACTTATTTCTTGCTGGCATGCAAGCCTAAGGACCTAAAAGTTTCTATTATAACATTCGCATTTTTGGTATGGGAAGACACATGGGATTGGGTGGTGTGTTAATAAATATTTAAAGCAATTCTATAAAACAAATATTTATTTCTTATCAAGATGCTTAAAAAGTTCCAAAGTCCAATGCGTAGACTATAATTAAAAGCATTTACAAAATTTTTGTCACTGGTACATAATGCCTCTAGTTTAATCCTGGTTGTCTCTCATCATTATATGATCTTGGCAATGTCGTATAAACTATTCTATAAGGTTACAAGTCACTTAAACTGGAATTTTTACAGTGAAATGAATGCAATGCCATTGTTGCAAATATAGTACGATAATGTTGGGTGGGGCGCATTTTGCTTCTTAAGATGGAAAAAGTTACAGCTGTAAAAAGTTATACTTTTTCATTCTACTCTATTTCAAGGAATACTAAACCTTGAAGCACAATTATGTTAACAGTCATGATAAGTTCAATTATATCTCGATGTATTTACAAAATAATGTACATAAATGTTTAAATGCAAATGATAACAACCATGGGATATTTCAAATAGCGGTAATATCAGTTCATGCTATAATAATAATAATAATATTGTGTAATTTTAAACAATATATCTGACTGATAAACATTATAGTAACAGGCCAAATTGACATCAAAATCTATAGTCTTATGCTATAATCTATAATCTTGAATGAACATGATCCTATATGTGCCCGCTTATCATGAAGATAGCATTTATGACCTATAATATCTTTAGAAGATCATAAATATGAGGTCATATTGTTACCTTTAGAGCGACTTTGTCATCAGTTCATGCAATTTCAGCCATTAATGACGTTAAAATTTCAGTCTAGGCTTCACTAGTTATTTAGCCATCCTGAAGATAAGGAACTGATGAAACCACCCTTGATGGTTTGAAGCGATATTTTCTGTGTGTATATATTTATTATATTTTATTTATATATTTTTCTTCTTGAAATAGGAATTTCATTGCAGTTATTGGAACTGTCTTTACAATGTGTTTGAATGCAGACACTTTTTATCAGTTATGCATATTTGCAAATAAGATCATGTCATTTTCTGATTTCAGTATTTTTTCCATGAGTCTTCATACTGTAAAGATCTTTTAAGCAGTCATTTAGTCTTCCTAAAATGAGGATTAGCTGGTCAGGGTTATCTGACGGAACCACCATATATATCTCGTGCAGAACCACCATACATGTCCCTTCCAGAACCTCCATAGATGGGTTCCCTGGCAGAGCCACCGTAAATGTCTCTGGGATAGTTTATCTGAAAGAATTCAGGGCAGAATTAAGAAACACTAAGAAAGACAGGCATATTTTATGACACTGGCAGATTTATGATTTGAAGAAAAGGATTAGAAACTGTCCACTGTGCCATGACCCCAGATCTACTTAAGTTTATTTATTTTCTTTGGAAGACTGACTTTTACAGGGTTCTTGCAAAAGTTCATTGATAATGAACATAAAAGCATTAAGAAAGATAAAGTTTAACTTACTGAATGAGCAGTTGCATAACCTATGTGGTCAAATCCCTGAAGAATAGAAAAAGAAGAATTTGAAATGTGAAATTATCTAAAACAAAATGCTTAATGTTAATTGATTATGTTATTAGACCAATTCCTTCATTTTACAGGCACATGTAAGAATAATTGTGTGTTGCTTTTCTGGAAGTCACTTCAGCACAGATTTGGTTTACATCATAAAATTATACTTTAATTTTTTTATTTGAGAAGAGAAGAGCATTATGCACTCACGTCATCATCCATTGGTGGCCTGCCATTGGTGCCGTATATCGACCCCTCTCTGGGGTAGTGGGAACCTCCCACAGAACTAGGAGCACCTGTAAGGTGAACGGAAAGCCTCTTGAATCAGATTGCATTTCACACCAGGTGCAACATTCACATATCATAATAACTTTCTGAGCATAGAATAATTTTAATAATAATAATTTTTATCAAATGGACTTACCTGCTCTGGCATATCTGGGTAGATAGGAACTGCTCATTGCTCCAATTGCACTGCCATTGGTGCCACCATTCTCCAGACTGAAACAAAATGCAGACTTGTGTAAAGTACTTACAATTTAAATGTTAGTTATGAGTCTGTTTTAAATGTGGCTGAAAAAAAAAAACAGAAATTCAGAGAGGAAGTATTCATATCATATTTTGACTTAAGAAGGAAATGAAAAATGATTGATGCATTGTGTGTAGTATTGGGTGTTAAGAAGTATTGAGAGGGATGTAAAAAAAAAAAAAAAGAACGATTAACTGCAGAGTTTCATGTAGCCTCATATAAATGACCTGTGGAATATGAGGATTACAGTGTAAAGGGAAAATGGAGGCACACTGCCTAGTGGCAACTAATAAAATCATTGTAAGCTGAAAGTGTGGCGAGGTCAATATCAGTGTTTTAAAGCGCAAGCCAAATGATGGAGAAACTTACCTCATTTCTTGCAGCTTGTCAGATTGGGAGCGGTACCTGAATGAAGCAAAAAGGTCAAGGTAATGGTACTGGGGTAGAATTATGGCACAGGAGAGGTATGGTAAAAACCTGAACATTTAGTCAGTCTTGAAAATTTTGTCAGAAGAGATTCTCTGACAAAGTAATTATTTTCATTTTGAAAATTTTATCAAACTTGAAAATGGGCCACTTGACAATTTAGACAAGTCAGATTCAGACATTTAAAGATATTATTTAATTTTTAAGTTATGGAATTTTCAAGTCTTTACCATAAACACATGATGTTATAACAATAAAATAATAAGCTCCTTATGGGTTTTAAGGATTGAGACATTTTCATCCATACCTGGTATACTAGCAAATAAAGCAAACAGGTGAACTTTGGTAGTTTCAATAAGATTAGTTGTGTATTTCCACAAAACTTTGCTTTAGTAGCATGAAACTAAAATAGGCAGGGTCTTGGGATAAAGCAGTAGCATTTAGCCTTCACAAACACCAGCCCTCTGCTCACAGTCATAGTTCTTACAGTTGTAAAGCAATAGAATAATTGAATTCTGTAGGAGACTTTGCCATCCATCTGAATAAACCATAGATTTTTATTGCCAGATATGTCCCAAATAGGTACCCATTGGACATACAGTCCATACTTATCCAAAAATGCCATTGGCTAATATGCTTACATGAGTTCCCTTCTTCTCTTCATTTTAACCACAACCACCCATGTGATCAGGACCACAAGGACCAGGAAGACAATTCCAGCCACAACCCCAGCTGCAATCAGGGTGGACTTGTCCTCCTGTTGCTGGGCCAGAGGACTCTCTGTTCTCAGCTGGCATCTTGGTCCTGCGTATCCTTCTTGACATCTGAAAAAGGTGTTGATTTTATGAGATATATTCACAGTTTGAATAATATTGGTTCAATCAATATGATGGTATTGCATTTTTTTAAATGTGAATTGTGGACTATGGTGACCAGGCATTTTCTTATTTCTTATTTGACTATTGATAATAGCAAAGAAAAAGGCAGTTATTGCAGCTGAAGATGGAGCAAATAGTAAAGGACCTACATCACTACTTGCATCCAAGCACTTCTGACGGAGCAAATGCCCATTGATAGCCTTTTATATTTTTATAACATGACACAAAGTAGCAAAATTTGTCCATCAGCTCACAAATTACTTGCAAAATATTATTGTACTTACAGGCAAGTTGGTCTCTGGTTCTCCACCTCACATAGTCCATTGATACAGACATTGTTCAAGTCAAACCAGTCACAGTTCACCACCTCTGCAATAATACAATACAATACAATACAATACAATACAATACAACACAATATTCTGGGAATGTGTGAGTGATGAGAAAAAAAGAAGCAAACATATAAATCATTCATCTCAATAATGTTCTTATTCCAAATTATTTGAATGGTTAGAAGAGTCAGGTAAAAACAATTAAGAAGCAAATATTGATTAATATTCAAAGTGATTTTCCATAACATAAAGTAAATGGAATCTTTAAGTTTTGTGTTAAAGATTCAAATTAAAAAGTTTAACTTCTTATCCAAAAATTGTTTTGTAGCCAAAATAACATGCAACAGTTAATGTAGGTAATCATTAGTTTAGGGGCACACAGTGTTTCTTACGTTGAGCCTGAACAGCTTGACAGTTCCCAGTGTGAACATATGTAGGTCCTTCCACCTTCAGTTCTGCATTGGCAAAGGGCATCATTCCTGCATTTTTCTTTATTTTGTCTTCCAATACAGCCACCACCTCGGCCTCCTGATCCATTGGAACATTGGCCAGCTCCAAGTCATAGCAGATCTGAGTCATCTTACCCATGCGTCTAAAAATGCACAGTTGTACAGTTATTACAAATACAATTCATATATATATATATATATATATATATATATATATATATATATATATATATATATATGTTGGAAAGTTATGTGTATTTCAGATAGAGAATTTGAGTTAATGGGTCTAATCATGGTGCCTTATTTTTATGTCCAATCCATGACAAGATTGGGGAATCAGTAGGTCAAGCAGTTCTCATGATTTGACCAGTAGTCATACAAGGCTATGTCTTCTTGTTTGCTCAAGTTTAACTGAGATAAAGAGACTAGCCACTTACTGGAGATCCTTAACATTCAACCTGCTTAGTCCTGGGAGATCTTCATAGATCTTCATCAACTACAAAGAAGAAAGCATCGATAAAGTTTTAACTTTATTTAAAATGATATAGAACATAAGTAGTGACATAATAAAATATGTGGTATCAGGCATCTCTATGTTATTAGAAGAAAAGACAGTGGATTTGAAGGTTAAATAATAATCTGGAAACAAGTATTATCCAAAAACTTACTGAATCATGAATCTCTTCTATGACACTTGCTGTCTTGGGGCGAGACTCTTGGTAATAAAGGTCATCCCATGGTAGCGCAATGCCAGTCTTGATATTTACTGTGCTATTTCCAATGACTGGAATACTAGGGGTTACAACGGCACTGCCGGTGGTCACTGTGGGCTTTGTGGTTCGAGAAGTGGTTGGTCTTGGTGTTGCTGAAACATTAGTAAGCAAGGGATAGGTTATAGAAGCATTGGGAAGGAATGGCGTGGTAGTTTGGCTGTAACTTAGAGTTTCATTTCCAAGCTGAGGGAACAAAGTGGATTTCACACTGCGGGATGAGCTGGAAGTTTCTCCAGAGAATTGGATTATGCTATCAGTTTGATTTTGAAGCCTAGGGAGTGGTGTGGTCCCTTCAGAAGCAGGGTTTGTCTCTGGAGTTTCACGGGAGGCTTGGGTATTACTTATAGTTTGGTTTTGAAAATGAGGATATAAAGTAGACAGTAAAGTGGACTGTGCAGGATAAGTTGTATTTGATAGTGCTGTCGAAGCAGGTAGGAGAGAGGGAGTCAAGCTAAAGAGAGATGAGCCAGTCTCATTTGCAGTGGTATTGACCATGTAAGAGTTGGAGGTTCTACCAGTCATTTCTGGTGTAGTGGCTATTGGTGCTGTTGTTGTAAGCTGGACTCTTGATCCATTATAATGACACTGGGGATATACATCCCAAAAGGTTCTACAACTCTTATATTCCTCATCATAATATTTCTTGTTATCAAAGCATTCATGTTTGTCTAGTATAGAACCTCTCAAGCAATAATAGTAAACGGAACAGTTATAAGGGTCTGGATGGAAGTCATTTCGTTTCCCTTCACAACTAAAAACAAATATTGTTGTTTCTACAGTAGCTGTAGTTGTTGAAGAAACATTTAGTTGGTGGTATGTTGTAGTGTCTGTTATTTGGGACACTGAAGCACTCATACTGAAAGAACTATCAGCAGAACTTGACAGTGGGGCACTAAAAGATGTTTCAACAGATGGTATGGTAGAAATATTGGGTCTAGTACTAGTATCCGTAGGAATTGTTGACGAGTTGGAAGCATACATTTCAGTAGTTTGAGATGTCAAAGCATCCTCACTTGTTGAAGCTCCTGTGGCACTAGAAGATGTTTCAACAGATGCACCTGTTGTAGAATCGGGGACATACATTTCAGTAGTTTGAGATGTCAAAGCAGCCTCACTTGTTGGAGGTCCTGGGGTACTAAGGGATGTTTCAATAGATGCAACTGTTGTAGATTCGGGAACATAGATTTCAGTAGTTGGGGATATGATACTAACCTGAGATGTGGAAGTGCTGACCATAAAAGGGTAGGAAGTTCTATCAGGTATTTCTTTTGTAGTGGTTATTGGGGCTGTTGTTGTAAGCTGGACTCTTGAACCATTATAATGACACTGCGGATATACATCCCAAAAGGTTCTACAACTCTTATATTCCTCATCATAATATTTCTTGTTATCAAAGCATTCATGTTTGTCTAGTATAGAACCTCTCAAGCAATAATAGTAAACGGAACAGTTATAAGGGTCTGGATGGAAGTCATTTCGTTTCCCTTCACAACTAAAAACAAATATTGGTGGTGATGATGATATTGTTGTTTCTACAGTAGCTATAGTTGTTGAAGAAACATTAAGTTGGTGGTATGTTGTAGTGTCTGTTATTTGGGACACTGAGGCACTCATACTGAAAGAACTATCAGCAGAACTTGACAGTGGGGCACTAGAAGATGTTTCAACAGATGGTATGGTAGAAATATTGGGTCTAGTACTAGTATCTGTAGGAATTGTTGGCGAGTTGGAAGCATACATTTCAGTAGTTTGAGATGTCAAAGCATCCTCACTTGTTGAAGATCCTGTGGCACTAAAAGATGTTTTAACAGATGCAACTGTTGTAGAATCGGGGACATACATTTCAGTAGTTTGAGATGTCAAAGCATCCTCACTTGTGGAAGATCCTGGGGTACTAAGAGATGTTTCAACAGATGCAACTGTTCTAGAATCAGGGACATACATTTCAGTAGTTTGAGATGTCAAAGCAGCCTCACTTGTTGGAGGTCCTGGGGTACTAAGGGATGTTTCAATAGATGCGACTGTTGTAGAGTCGGGAACATAGATTTCAGAAGTTTCGGATATGATACTAGCCTGAGATGTGGAAGTGCTGACCATGAAAGGGTAGGAAGTTCTATCAGGTATTTCTTTTGTAGTGGTTATTGGGGCTGTTGTTGTTGTAAGCTGGACTCTTGAACCATTATAATGGCACTGCGGATATACATCCCAAAAGGTTCTACAACTCTTATATTCCTCATCATAATATTTCTTGTTATCAATGCATTTATATTTGCCTAGTATAGAACCTCTCAAGCAATAATAGAAAATGGAACAGTTGAAAGGGTCTGGATGGAAGTCATTTCGTTTCCCTTCACAACTAAAAACAAATATTGGTGGTGATGATGATATTGTTGTTTCTACAGTAGCTATAGTTGTTGAAGAAAGATTTAATTGGTGGTCTGGTGAAGTGTCTGTCGTTTGGGACACTGAAGCAGTGACACTGGAAGAACTATCACCAGAACTCGACACTGGGGAA